ATTTTAACCAAAGGAATTACAGGTTATGTCTCCAAACATTATAGTATTGAAACAAAAGCATCTTTCAACATCCAGACTCCACTGCACATCAAAACAACAATATTAGCTTTAAATAAGACAGTTTGTAGTGACTACAGTGACACCAACAGTATCTCTTTTGATTACTGTAGGCATGAAAAAGTTTAGACAACGTTCACAGGTTCAGATTCACATGTTGAGTAACACTTGAGTCAGCAAGTGCCAGGTCACCTGGACTATTTTCTATGAACAGCAGTGCCTATGGCTCAAACTTTTGTTTGCCTTAAATCCCTTTCAACATTCAAAGATACAGTGTTACCTGCTGAGTTCAGGGAGCCAAACACTCCGTGAGCATCAGACAATCTTGTTAAAGGTTATGTTTAGAGCTTTTTTGACCTTTTTTGGGGTGAAAGCGGACAATAAAGTTCTGGGACCACAAAAGCATTAAGTTGATTGGGTGAGATGTCAAATCCCAAAGCATTGAGGACTGTGTGAAACATCAGGTTATACACGCCTGACCAAAATGTTGGAAAATCAGCTGTGTTTCTAAACTAGTAGTAAATGGCCTTCATTGTTAGGTCATCCCTAGCTCTTCAACCAGGCAGAAACAAACATAAATTATCAAATTCATTTCTCAGAGACAGTCACAAACTGCCTCTTGATCTTTTTTCTCATCAGACCTTTATGACATTTTAGTGAAAATACAATTGACTTCCAGGTTTCAGGCTTCTACAGGTACAATTCAATCACAGGTAGTGGGCGCTTTCCAAGGCAATTTTAAAGATGTGTAATCTTCAATTTCATAGTAAATTATCAAGTAAAGAGGTGTAAGTCAGTAACTCATTCCCTTTGTTAGTTTAAAGAGTATCAACAGCATACTCAAATGTGGTTTCGACCTCAGAACAGCAATGAGACAGCTCTAATCAATGCAACAAATTACCTGCTATTAGCCACTGACCAGGGTTCTGTATCTTTCCCCCCTCTGAACTGAGTGCACTCTTTGATAATATGCACAGAGGGCAATGCATGGAGCATTTTCAACAGCAGTATATTTTATATTACTGCCTAATGATACAGTATTTTTAATAGCATCATTACCTTATGCAAATGAGATGAGCATACAGTAAGTAGATTTAGTTTTTTTGCCAGTGTTATTGTTAACATTCAAAGGTCCATCCATCCATCCATCTGCTGCTTACCTAGGGCCATGTCGCAATGGTGGAAAGCTATAAGGCAGTCCCTTCCCGCAGCAAATTATTCCAACACATCCTGGGGGATCCCAAGGCCTTTTTACGCCAGATGAGATATATAACCTCTCCAGGGTGTTCTGGGCCTAGTCCAGGGTCTCCTATAGGAGATGTTGGACATGCCCAGAAAACCTTCCAAAGGAAGGGGCCCAGGAGGCGTCCTGATCAGATCCCCAAACCACTTCTACTTGCACAGGAAGGAGCAGCTGCTCTACTCCAAACTCCCTCTGGATGTCTGTGCTCCTCTACCCTATCCCTTACCTTATCTCTAAGGGTGACCACAGGAAACTAATATTAGCTTTTGTATGTACCTCTTGTATCCACAGTTTAATTCTCTTGGTTACTACACAAAGTTTAAGACCATAGGTGAGAGTTAAATCATAGATTGACTGGTAAATCAAAAACTTTGCCTTCCAGCTCAATTTCCTATTCACCACAACTGTCCTATGCAATGCCTGCATTGCTGCTGCTGACACTGAATCAATCCGCCTGTTGATTTCAAGTTCCATTTTACCATCAATCGAGGGAACAGTCAACCATTTTCTGGCAGAGAACCATGGCTGCTGACTGTCATACAGTCAGTGCATGCTGAAGGGCCACCAGAACATCATCTGCAAAGAGCAGAGAAACAATTTTGAGGTCCATGCTGTACACCTGCATGAATATGACTAGGCAATACTAATCAGCTATAAACCAACCAACTGGAGAATGAGCCAATGATTGTGAAGCATGAATAAAACAGCTGATGCCAATCGGCTACTGAAAATGTGGCTTCAGTATTCTGCCTGAATTAATGTTATTCTTCATGACTTGAATCAAATAGAAGAATTTATACACCCTTGTACACTTTCAAATGTTGGAGGTTTCTGTAGTCTTCAGGGATTCAAGATGATGTGGGAGATGTGGCAAGGATAATATGCAAAAAGCTTTTTTTCAAAAAGAAGTGAGGATGACAGCAGGATCTGTGAGTGTGCAGGAAAATACCACCCTCAAAACCAAGTCAAGCAGAAACTCCATCTGATACATATTTGATTAAAAAACTGTCTTTTCTCTGCATTTATGATGGGTGCCTGTGAGCAAAAAACAAACAAGTCAGTAAAAGACCTGAGGTGACTGGAGTGCTTATTGAAGCAGAAGTTCCTGGAGGAGTCAGAGCTTGTCAGGGGAGATCTAAAGACATATGTGATTATGTCTGTCAGGATGCAAATGAGTTCGAGTCAATAACATAGTGAGTTTATGCTATACATTTAGCTGCTAATGGACAAGAAATGAAATGAAGATAAACACGCTTACAGTTTGTGCACTGTGTTTTGGAGGAATTAAACTTATGTTAATGCAGATGTTAAAATGAATAAAGCCAAGAGAGCTGTGAGAAAATATCAAGTAGAATAAATAATGGTAGAGTACAAGAGGTTAAGAGCAGTGGCCTGAAAACTATAATTAAATCTGTTAAATAAGAGTGTTGGAGGGTGTGAAACATCAGTGGTGAATGCATGGTTGGTTCAAAGAAGGGTATTAGAAAACAAGTGTTAGAAGATGGGGAAATGTTTAGCACATGTAGGCTAACATAGAGAAAACCAACATATATTTTCATGCAAGTCAGAGTTGATAAATATTAGTGAAGTGAGGGAAATTAGAAAATTTCTGGTCCAAACATTTTTGCTGGACAAACTGCATGGGTCAATACGATGCAGACGGAAAATCATTTACATAATGAATCACCTTAGCATGGGATGCTTTAGAGACTAGATGATGTAGTGTTAAATGTCAAGGGAAAACATGCAATTTTTCCATTTTAAAACCATGAAAGCATGTCACATTCCCAGGTTCATACAGGCCAGTTTAACAGAAGGTAGTAGATGTTTACAAGCTGGAGAAGCATTAAGCAAGGTTGGTTCAGAGTTACTATATGGTTTGAGTTCTCTACCAGTGTGTGTTAAATCATGACATCAACCTACTCCTGAACATCAGCAAGACTAAGGAGCTGATAGAGAAGAAGCAGGGAATGAACTAGACCGACCTTAATATCAACGGGTCCTGACCTGGCCGCTGCATACTGACTCAGTGGTCAGAAAGGCAAGGCAGAGCATGTTTCACGTTGGTGGGGAAAGCAAAAAAATCTGTCTTTTGTTGGGATTTGGAATTCATAGCTAGACTAGCTTGGGAAACTTAACACTAGTAGCCACCACTATTGAGGAAATATATATATAGAGAGAGATGTAATGTAAGAATCACTTTAGGCCTGCAACAATGATGAAAATCTAAAAAAAACAAACAAAAAAAACAACATAATTATTTCATATATTTTTTTCAAAGCCACTGGGAGCCACTGGAGAGGGGCTAAAAAGCTGCACAGGTTGCCTACCCCTGACCCAGAGAAACAAGAAGTAAACACAAAGACAGCTTTTTGACCTTACCTTGTATTACAACATGGCTGTTACCAAATCCTAAATCTATTAGTATGCTACTGAAGGTGGGGGAGGAGGATTGTGGAAAGCCAAATGTTGATGAGGTGATGATCATGTGATGAGAGGAGAACTGGATATTGCACCTGTAGATTTTCAAGGAATGGCTGCTCCCAGAAGGATCGGCAGTTTTCAAAAGAGTAACACCACAGCAGGGGTTTTCTTCAGTCGATGCACTGACAGCACCAGTAGGGGGATGATCTTTGGTCAAGCCTGAAAATGTTTTAGAGCTCTGAGTGGCACTGCATTGAGTGGATGTAAGGGAGTGCTTTGGTATTTTTAGACATTCAAGCACAAGTAGGCATGGAAAGCTATGTGGTTGTGGATGTAGCAAGTAAAGAAGTGAGTGAGATGAGGAGGATTTGAAAGCTGCCTTGAAAGGCAACAAGGGGATGGCAGAGGGAGTGGTAGAAGGAGAGTATGGTATGCCAATATTTCAGAAAGGGACACATTTTATTGGTACAGGATGAGGTAATAAAGACAATTAAGACTGGGTCACTGTTTTATGGAGTTTTTTTGGAGACTGGCATATAACTACGATGGGGTAATACTAAATGATTTTTATTGAAGTTATAGTTTAATTGGCGTTAAAGTAGTCACATTTAAATATAGCTACAGTCTAAAAGAACCTGTAAAATACTGTGGATGTTTTTGTTTTTTTTTAAATTGTGGAATGAAAAATCCATTACTGATGCCAAAACCCATTAAAAATACATAGGACACCAACTCAGTGTCCACAATAGTCGCTGTGGTCCTGTCAAATTGTTCCTCTCTAGACCAAAGTGGGAAAACCATTTCTTTAAGGACCTCGCTTCGTAACATTAAACTCTCCCAATAGCCCAAACAATGAAACAGTCCCAGATCCAAACTAATGTATACATGCTTTTGGACACTTACTGTATTTGCTGTACAGGTCTGTATTTCTGGATGTGAGGTATAACCGTGTAAACAGGGAACGTATTGTGTCAATGGAGGCGGTAATGCACCAATGGGGGAACAGCCTACTGCAAATCTACACGAAGAAGAAAAGTTTTGTTGTAAGTAATATGCCCTAGACTCAGCCTCACAGGCAACATTTCCTCGTTTGTGTGCGCAATAAATTCCGAGTATTTTTCTAAAATGAACCCTATATCCCACTCATGGCCCTAACTCTGAGCTTAACTATAATTTAATAAGTGGACCTTACACAGGGGTACAGTACACAGTCTGGGAGAAAGGGTTGCCTGAAAGGTTCTACTGATGGTCAAAAAACCCACGAAATCTCTTTCTCTTTTCTTTTTTGACTCGTGTTATTGGTGTTGTCAGACAGACAGAGAAGAAAACGTGGACGGTGTGCTTTACTTTCTTTGCCCGATGTTTAATTTAGCCACGTTGACAGTTTGACATTTAGTTGGCGTTAATTAATTTCAGTAACAGTTAAGAAGAAATAGTCCACCGGTAGCTGTAAAATGACGGAACAGTCCTCGTTGTTACTACGTAAACAATTAGCAGGTAAGTTGGCTAACTGTTGCTACTACAGCCTGTTCTACTGTCCATTAAACTATCACAGGAAGGGAACAGCTAGCGTTTCATTTAGCCGCTGTTTTATTTGGCTAGCCTACGTTTTTATGTACAGATACAGCTCGTGAAAACAAAGTTGAAATGCACGTGTAACGTTATAACGTTATAGATAGCGTAACCTGTTACCAGACAGCTGTTGACTGAGAATATGACTAAGAGTAGCGGTTGCTCAATAGCTACTGAAGGCAGTTCAAAATCACCACAAACAACAACTAATTGTATGTATTTACTCCCCAAACCCGTTTTTGTAAGGTTTATTATATTTATATAGTTTAAAATGCAAAAGAATTTAACATCTACGTTGCATGTCACTGTCAATATGAGTATACACCTATGTTTTCATATACTTGTGTACGTAACAGTCCTGTAAATTCTTAACCTTTTTTTGTTCAGCATTGTTGTCCTAGCTGTTATGTCTATTTGTTTGACATTTCAGAGCTCAACAAGAACCCAGTGGAGGGGTTTTCTGCGGGTCTTGTAGATGATGATGACATCTATCAGTGGGAAGTGGTCGTCATTGGACCTCAAGACACATTATTGTGAGTTTACTAGTGAACTGGATTGAGCTGCATGTTCTCTCACAATCCCTAGTGTATTGTAACACCACCGTCTTTGTCGCTCGTAGTGAAGGAGGTTTCTTCAAAGCCACCCTAACCTTCCCCCGTAACTATCCTTTGAGGCCTCCCAAGATGAAGTTCATCACAGAAATCTGGCATCCAAATGGTAAGAACTAACTCCAGGCCACTGTTATCCGTGTCTCTAATTAATCTGTATCAAAGAAGTATTCAAAGTCAGTATATTTTTCAAAAGCAAATGTTAGGATACTAGCCTGTCAATACTGCTGTCAAGTTCTGAAAACATGTTTTCCATTCCAAAAAAGGTAAACATTATTTTAAAATGCATTCAATAAGATCCTGTTAATCCTGTTGAAGTGTCTTCAATCATATATATATATGGAATTATGTTTCTGTAAGTATAATAGTTTGCAGATACAGTGCTATTGGTAAAAGTCCCCTGACCAGATCTACTGAGTCTCTTAACTGGCTTCAGGATTAAATGTATTAGGTTTTACTTTTTCAACAAGTGCAGAGCTTTAGTATAGTACCCGATCCTCTGCTTCAGTACAAACGTGTCAGTAATGCCTGCTTATTCTTGTTTGCTGCCAGTGGCAAAAAATGGCGATGTCTGCATATCCATCCTGCACGAACCTGGCGAGGACAAGTATGGCTATGAGAAGCCTGAGGAACGCTGGCTGCCTATCCATACAGTAGAGACCATCATGATCAGTGTTATCTCCATGTTGGCGGACCCCAATGGAGACTCACCTGCCAATGTGGATGCAGCTGTAAGTGCCCACAGTCTCACATAAGCACACTCTCAAGTTGGGGTTAGTTTTCAGACGCTTTATCATCAGTGATGAGTGTTTCTTTGCAAGCCATGAGAGACAATAGGACACTTTTTTTATTCCTAATCTGTGTATATACTGTATGTATACATGTGGAGAAGGATGCAATATCTAAAGGTACAAAAAACCTGAAATGACTGAAAGTCACCACAGTTTAGTTTTTTTTTGTCTTGTTTTTCTAATGGAAATCCAAATAAGTGAGCTGAGTGACGTGGGTCCCTGGGAGAGGGGGCAGATCACAGCCTGCCAAGTCTTGGTTGGGTCAAAAGGGCTTATTTTTTTATTCAGAGATGCCACTTAGAGACAGAAAAAGGCAATAGTTCAAAAATATACATCCATCGGTCAGCTGATGCAAAATGTGTCGTCAAAAAGTAGAAATCCCAAGAGGAAGTAAGGTTTGCACTAACGAGATGGTTATAGATTTTTTTTCATATGTAATATCCTGCAGAAAGAGTGGCGGGAGGATCCTACAGGAGTTTTTAAGAAAAAGGTGGCACGCTGTGTGCGGAGGAGTCAAGAAATGGCTTTCGACTAAGTCCTCAAGGCAGTCATCGACACAGTAAGTACAACCACCTGTAAGGATTAGGGCTGCTCTGTATGGTAAAAACATCATATTGCTATTATTGTGACAGATAGTGTGATTTGATTCACAATTGGAAATGATCATCACAAATTTAATTTTCTCTGGAAAAACGTAATGATCGTGTGAAGTTTTGGGGGTTTGTACCAAACAAACACATTTTCTTAAATGTGGAAAACAAGATTTGTAGGCCAGGACATATTTTCAGTTTAGTTCAGTTTCAGTAGTGATGATTTTGGACCTGGGAAGTTATTGTTGCTGCTCATCTAGCTGAGGTCTTCCTGGTAGAACCATTTAGGTATTGTGCTGCGGGTTTTTACAACATTCACTAATATTGATAACCAAACTGAGATGTTTATTTTGTTTCAGGTTGGAAATGCAGAGGGGATTTGGCAACTGGTTACTCAGAAGTGAGCTAGATGACCATGGGGCACAACTTTATCAACATCAACTAGCCACCCAAAGAAGGAGACTCACAGAAAAAAAGATGTATAAACCCATATTTCTCTACTAATTTGTGTCTTTCAGTTTGAGAGTTGTTATTTCTGAATATTGCTGAATTCCAGTGGCATTCATTCTGCCAAAAAGTTCCATTTTACTTTTGAATTTCCACCATCAGTTGCACAAGATTTGCAAGTGATGAACTATGGACAGATATTTCTGGTCATCTTCTTCTGAGTGAAATGCTGATGCTTGAAGTATACTACTTTCTTTGTTATGTACATAGTCATCAGATTGTAGGAGACATGATCCCCTCTGATAAATGCCCCATTTTCAAAATCTAGTTTACTTATTTATTTAGAGTGAGATTATTTTAAGATGCTTATTGTCTTTTATGGAGGTTTATATTTTTATTTTCAACCTGCCACACTGAGCCATCACGTCTACAGTTATTTGATCAATTATGCAATTTCGGAGTATTTGCAGTCATGAAAGAGATGGGGAATATAGATACTGGCTTCCCTTTCCCAAGTGTTCTGCAGAGAAAGTGTTCCTTCTCTCCCTGAGGGGGAACATTTGTCACCCAGCACTGCCTTAACAATTGACTACCAGCAAAGGAAACCTATCTTCAATAAGGACTGCATCCGAAGGCTTGTTTTGAATCCAGATTTACAAAACCAAAGACAATACAGTGATAAATATATTTGTAATGAACATGCAACATTTTTTTTTACCTATGTAAATATAAATTATTTGTCCTTGCTTTGAAAGACACTTTTGAACACTACACATGTACAGAGAGAATGCATTCACCTGATGATGTGTCGATATTGTACAGTAGTGCCTCAGATAGGCCTTTTTCACAGACGACATTGATGTGATAATAGGAAAAGCACAGGCGTCTATTTAGCTGCTTCTGGCTCACTGTCACAGCTTACTCACTTGTTAATGTTGTCAGTAACACCTGTGATTTTCCTATTATGGTATGTCAAAATATCTGCTGTGATAAAAGTCTATACCACCCACAAAATGATCTGCTGATCAAGTGACGTAATCAAACTAAACAATAGTGTTTTTTATGCTTAGTAAGGACATAATTTGATGAATAATAGGTATACAGATGCACCCACTTTTTAAGTCAGTGAACGTTATATTGTGAAAACAAGAAATAAACCTCATTGTGGACGTTGTTGACTGATTGGTGAAATGTTTCTACCCCTCCGTTATACAATGTAGACCTCATATTTATTAACAGATTAACATACATCTGACTTTTAAATTCAATTCAGAGTCACTGTTAATCAAGAGTCAATGATCATGCATGTTTTCTTTTTAAGGAATGAGAACAAAACATTACCACATTTTCCAATCCCCATTACTGCTTTATTGAATTAAGCACCAGCTCAATATGGTCAACACCCAGACAAGAGAAGACATGTCCTTAAACTGAAAGAGTATAAAATCATTTTAACAACACAAAAGCACACCCCGCCCAAAGAAAAATCCATCCACCCATCTTACAGCAACTGTGGGTCCTGAGTTGTTCACTGTCCAGGGGCTGACAGACTTTTGTTCATGAACTGCTTCTTGACAAAGCACACCCACCACTGAAAGGAAAAAAAAAACAAAAAACTGTTAAGAAAAGTGTCTAAAGCTTCTAGAAAACAAACTACCTGGCAAGATTACAAATGGGCAGCACACAATCCATTTGTCACCAGACAACAGGATACTAATCGTTTCAGTGCTGAAATATGGATACAAACCATTGTCAAAACATCAGCTATAGCTCAATTTTCGATGTCCTCTTCTCGAGTAACAACCATGTTACAATTTACACTGTCCTGGGTGTAGTCTACTTTGTGATTATATTCTGAATAAAGGTAACATTAGCCCTGATAATTTCACTTCAAAACACATGAACTACAGGTCAGAGCCAATATGACATTGGTTGTCATGTTTTGAAACCAGTTCATAACTTATCAGAAATGCTAATTACCTGGTGCAAGTGCTGTGTGCATAAAAAAGCTGTAGTGGTGTTATTTTGGAGACGTCTTACTCACCTTGCTGGGTTTGTCTGTCTGGGGGTCAAACACGCGGTCACATAGCCTCAAGCCTGTCTCCTGGCGGATCTGCTGGAGGTACGCCCTCATAGTCTCTGGAAAAGGTTGTAGAAACAGTATTATTGACCCTGCACGTCAATATTTCTCTATCTTTACAGGAAATTGAAGCTAGTGTTAATATTCAGAAGGGAAAAGACAGTTGTGACAATTATGATTCACTGCATAGTCAACATGAACATTGTGTTATTTCAGTAAAATTGAGCTTAAAGGGGAACTTTGGCAGATTTTTACCCGAGTCTTGATCGCTAGATGTCACCGAGTACTGTCGATAGGAAAAACAACGACCAAAACCGGTGCTGGCAAACTGGAGTTCCTGCAGCTAATGGCCAGAGCTCCCAGTTAGTTATAATACACTTCTTGGGGGCATATCCTAAAGAGTGCCTTTTGCTGCTCTTAACAGACACAAAATGCAATTAAAATGTCTGTGCAACATGATCAGGGCCCTTACGTGACAACAACATGCCTTTTCAACTCATACATTGTGCAGAAACTGTTTAAATTCAAAGTTTACAAGTACTGTCACAGTAGCCTTAGTGAGAAAACTTCCCACGGATTAGTGTCTCGTGATCACTCTCGGCTTTCAGTGAAGCTCTGGAAAACAGGTCAAACTTAAATTTAAACGGTTTCTGCCAAAGTTCCCCTTTAAATATCCAGGTCCTCTTCCACCCAGTTTCATCAACCACAGTGCTGATACTGTGTAAGCACTAAGGGGACACCACGCAAGCATGAAACAGCACTTCCAGCCTCACATCTGTAAAGCTGATGGGGCTCTGCTCAGCAATGCTATTTTTGGCTTGCTATTACTTCATGCTGGGAATTAGATGAAATATGATGAGGGTTAAGCGAAACTGGCGCATTTAACTCTGCAAACAATCATTAGAATTATACCTCATTTATAGTGCTGCTTCTTACCTTCCTCCTGCTTGTTTGCAGGTTTAAGATACATAGCGTTGAGAGGGAAGCCAGGTTCTCCCGGGATGGGAAAGTTAGTGATGCCCAGAGTGTACATCTCTTTCTCTCCCTGGCTCCTGGAGCTGCACTGTAAAGAGCACACACATATTGCAATGCAAAGGGATAGACCACCTTTTTACTAGCACCCATTTGAATAGGCATTCAAGCAGCTAATTCACATTCTACTCATCATTTAATGACTCCCTACAAACAAACTAGTAAACCCTTGTGGTTCTTCAGCCGTTGGTTTAGAAGCCCCACTTTAACATAATACTTTTAATTGTTGCAACACATATTAAGGTTTGCATGAAGCCAGTGTAACTTGTACATTAAGAAATGTGCAATTTACCTTCTGTAGCCTCTTTAGGCATTCAGAAATGTACAGTGTGACATAGATCAGCGTCCTGTCCGCCTCATTCTGAAAGAAACAACACGCACACACACACATTACATATAATATATAATAATAATAATAATAATAATAATGTAAAAGTGTGTGTTTTTTTATAGTGTAACTATTACTATTATTAAGTACATTTTAAGCCAGGTCTGAACAGTAAAAGGTTGTACTGAGCAAGTATGCATCGCTAAGGGGAACAGGAAGAAGCAAGCTGGGGCATGTGGAAGAAAAATGCACAGCTGCTTCGAGAGAGAGAAAGAGAGAAAGAAAGAGAGAGAGAGAGATGGGGAAGAGAAAACACATACAGGAACAAGCACACTTGTGACAGTACTGCTTATAGCTGCCAACACAAGTGACATTTCATTTGATACCTTGATTTCATAGTTCTTAAAAAACACGTTGGCCTTGAAGTAGTAGATAGCCTCATCAATGATGTCTGACTCGATGCCTGAAATGAAAAAAAAAAAAAGGTATCAATAAATACATATGATGGATTTAATAATGTATATTTACAGGAGGGTTGCATATGTATCAATGCTGAGAGTCATTTCCTGTTTTGGTAACCACATATCTATTTTTATTATGTGCTCAGCTTATTTTGCAATGGTGAGATCTTTTGTTCTGTGAATTATTCCATATTAAGACGAGGGACACTCTTTTCCAAACTTTACAGACAATGGAAGCTGGAAACGCAGTGTCAAGGGACATTAATGAAGAAGTTGAACTTAAGGATGAACTCTTCAGGCCATATATGGAAGTGAAGTTGATACATGTATCAGGAAATGAGCACCGTATCATAACACGGCACGAACCCTGCACGACACTGACTCAAGTATAAGCATCGTCTATAAGCCATTAAAAACTAAACATAACACATGTGTTTCCTCGTGTATGTGATAAAGCGCGGTCGGCTCCCACTTTGTGTGTTAGTTAAAACGACCCTACAGCCTTACCGTCTCCTCTGGCTGGTCCTTTGAACTGCGTTTTGAGGGGAAGCAAAGCCATGTTCCCCACCAGCCTGGTTTCGGGGATCATCAGGCTCGAGTGATACGCCTTCAAAAGAGAGGAAAAGGTGCTGTCACATACAGTATAGCGTTAGTTCACTAGCTAACGTTGTGTCAAATAGCATCAGTGGCATCTCTGCTACCGTCAACTCTGTCGCAACGGCCATGCTACCACGACACCAAGCTATATATTTTATAGATACTAAACTAAGAAGTTGGAGAAAAGTACAGAAAATGACGGCGCATTTGAGTTTTTTTTTTTTTTTGTCGTGTCCAGCATCACCAAACTGCGAGCAAATGCTAACATAGCTAGCCGGCTATGCTAACGTCAGCTCGGAGGCCCTTGTGTCACCCAGCTGTGCAGGTTTTTTTGGTTTTTTTTAGCTCTGAACTGCACACTAGAGGTTTCTGCTGGTCAATAATCGTGTAGGATTTACTCACCGGCATGTTGAGCGATGAATATCAGTCCAACTGCTCAGCGAGAGAGAAATAGTAGCACCTCAGGACTCTTCTTCCGCCTGTCCCACCCTTCAGCTTTACAGGAAGTGGCTACATGCTATGTGGCGTAGCTGCCACGTGGAGGCGCTAACACACCGGTTTCAGTCACACAGGCAGTCTTGTTTTATATTTTCTGCAATATTTTATTTAAAAATATAGGTTTAATACACGTATTTTATAACTCTTTAAACTTCAACATTGTCCTGAAATAATACAACATGAATGAGTTAAAGTTACACATGATCTAAATGGCACAGAAAAAGAAAACTCCTGAACACATGATATGTTTATGATCTTCAGAGTCAGTATTTTTCCCATGTGCCTTTCTCAGTGCCTTTGCAGTCACACGCCATCCTCCACCTGGGCTTGATATGGTGAGTCTTGATTCTTCTTGTTTGTTTGTTTTTTTTAACACGGACAAGTCTCTTTTTGTCCAGAAGTCACATTACTCCTCAGCTAGCTGTCCACCTTGTCTTGAAATATCTCGTCATAATTTAGGTTAGAAGGCTCTTCCTCATCCTCCTGTAGAAAATAAAAGTATGGGAATAACAACAAATTCATAATATTATAATATTATTATAATAACGCATTGTCAATTATTATTTTATTGTGTTATTGTTGTTTGTTTCTTCACCTTTGGCTCCTTGAATTCCAGGTCCTCTCCATACTGTATTGAGAAGTCAATGTGTTGCAGTACTATGTTGATACCTTCCTCATCTGTGCAGTCAAAAGGCAGGAATCTCACCATACTGTAGTCGTCAATCTGGACACAGACACCGTAGAGACCGTTTCACAAAAAGAAAAAAATCTAAATTTGAATCCAAAATGAAATGCAGTATCAAATTAAGGGCTTTACTTACCAGACCACAGATGGCTTTAGTCAGGTTCTTGAACTTTGTACTGCTGATTGTATTGGAGTTATCTTCCATCATTGAGTACATATCTGGGTCCAGGTATCTGGTGTTAAAGACAAAACATCAGGAATGCTGCTTCCAGATAGATAAAACCTGTTTAATCTGCATTAAGATAATAGAGAACTGCCTCTTTTACTGGGTTCAGGTTTTGAAAAACACTGCTTCAAACACTAATTCAAATTTGAAAGACAATTCAGTCACTCTGGAATTTAACTATATTTACTAATGGTTCACTATGACCTTTCCTTTACTTGTGTCTCAGTACCAACATTATTGCTGCAGGTTTGAACAAACATAACACTGTGGTACTCTACCGGTATGAAACTTACTTTTCAATTTCCTTCTTGGCTTTGGGACTAAGCAGGTCCATTTTTGTCATGATGTTTACTTGAGGAATCTCTAATGACACCATGGCACTCAGGGCAGCCATGACTCCTGAGATGAACTGTAGTTAGAGGAGGAGGGAAAATCTGAGACTTTGTGCTTGCTTTCATTACTACATGAAGTATTGTAATAGCAGAAACGAGGCGTGTTCAGGCACAAATGGGAATCAAAGAACCAGATGCTGATACTGGAGGGCCCATCAGTTACCTTAAAAGACTCCACCATGAACTGGGAGTCTACCAAAAAGACCCCACACACCCGAAACTCCCACTGCTGGAGCTGCTCCACCAGCTGTCTCATTACAGGGAGGTGTGTGTAAAGTTCAATCTGACCTGCAAAAACAAGCCACATGTAAACATAGCTCCAAAACTTGGATTATGCTGTATCTATAATGCTGATGCAAATACAACTGAAACAGTAATTCATAATGACAATGCTGTAATGAGAACAATGGCAAATGCAGTCTTAGTATCTCTTGTCCACTTGTTATCTTTCTTAAATTTGTTAAATGTTCTGCCGTTAATCAAGCTGTCTTACCCACTGACACGAGTGACCTTTTTATTTTTATATCCTTTTTCCTCTAGTCCTGACAATGTGTGCTAACCTAACATATGTCCTCCCATCTCACTACCCATCAAATCATCTCCATTCAACTGTTAACATTACTGAACCATGGCCGGCACAAACAGAAGTGGGTAAAAATCTGTCTGTCTGTTTACCTGGGCAGTCGAACAGTATGTAGTCATCCTCTACATGACCCAGGCTTTCCTCCAGCCAGTCAAAGTTGTTGGCAAAATACTCCATGCAGAAGACCAGGCCTCCGTTAGGCCCGAATCTGAGAGAAGGGTCCTCCATCACGTCATCCACCTGGATGAGCTCACGGATGTCTGAGGACATTTATTACATAAGTTACACCAAATGTAAACAGCACACAACAAAGATTAGCATGTGATTTATCTTACTAATAATATTTTATCCCTCTCCTCTCTAGCCACAGATCAACACTGACACGAACACTGCAGTAAATACCACTGAATAAGCACACTACCAAGTCTCAATTGTGATTACATAGCTCTTATGTGCTGCTATATACTTTATGGTGCATAGTTTTGTATTGTTCAGCTAGCTGTGTCCTACCTCAGTGTGTTGTTATACAGCATGTGAACCAACTCAAAGATCTATCTATCCCTCTATGTATCTCACAAACCATATGCTCCAGTGTTTTCAAATGAGACCTAAAACACTGTATAAGCATGTAATAACAAACTATTTGAATTTCTTCTTCGCGTCACCTTCTACTGTCTTTATTTAATGACCCTTCCGTTCTGGGCTGAGTAAGGCCAATATTTACTTGTTGTAACTAGACGTAAACACACTTTAGTGACCTGAAAACATGCTGTATTCACCTGCCATGACAGGATATTCAAAGTGCTCAGCTGCTGGGTCCAGATTGACAACCTGAACTGAGCGGTTTATGGACTCTGAATGCTGGACCATGGTGGAGCAGTAGGTACTCTGAAATGGAAAAACAATAAACAAATAAACGACCGGTTGTAACCTGAACTTGGTCTATGTGGAAGGCAACCTCATGCCTTAGCTTAGCGCTTTAGCCGAATAGCATAACAAAGTATTTGAGCAGGTATAACGGATTGACTGATAACCTACCTTACCGCTGCCCGCCGGGCCCATCACTAACTGTGCGTAACGAGGCATTTCGCCTCAATAAAAAAGTGCTGTGGTAAAGTTAAGTTGGTTAATTTCGCTAACTTAGCTATGTTGTATGTACTGATGCTCTAGTACTTCTTCTTGTTCGTGGGGGACATTCACAGCGGTTGTAGGGTTCACTACTGCCACTTACTGGTCAGAGTGAGAACTACAATTAAGCACACACAAACACTCCCTACTGGACTATGCACACACTGTAATAAACCCTACTCTGTCAAACATGTACCAATGGACGGCAGAAGATATAATGAAGAAAAAAGGGAATTAATAGCAGTACTGGATGATGGGAAACATAGTATTACATTGCTTGGAAATGCATCATGGAAAGTATGAAATCTTCTAATTAATTACTTAGGAGCAACAGGAATAATACAAAGTTATTTCAAAAATACTTTTATTGCCCCCCCTAAATAATAAATATTATATAGTAAATAATTATTATTCTTCCTGCCAATCCACTGCTCCAGTCCAGCAGGTGGCGGTAACGCGCCTATAAGCTCGTTTGCCAACCACCATTCAAATCCGAAGAAGAAGCAGAAGGAGCAGAAGGAAGGAGCAGAAGAAGCAACAAACGGCTAGCTGCACACAACAAATGTAAAACTGATGCAAAAGCAGTTCATAAGCAACCAACGATGCTGCTACTCGCCCCCGACGCCTTTTTCTGACTCTAAAACCTGCCATTGCTGGAAAGAAAAATGTGTCGACACTCAAGGGAGTGAATGGAGCTGACAAGGTGGACTTATTATTGGTAGGTGAGCTCATTCGTCATACTAAATAACATGTCCTGTAGTTGCTATGTTGTAGTTTATTAGCTCCATTGTGCCCATTTCTATGACTGCTAAGCGAAGCGGCCAGACTCCAAAACCGTCTTGTTTAACCAGGTTAAAATGGTAGCTAAGTTTATGATTTAGCTACGAGCGATTATGGCTCGGTTGAGCTCGGATTTGTCGTTTTCTCGGTGGTCAGTAACTCTGGCCACTGTCCTACGACGGAGGAGCTTCCGAAACTGAAAGGACATAACGTCGCCTGTCAACGTCAGCGGTGTCCATACATGTATTACAGCGGTATTGCGTTATTGGCAAGGCTACTCTACGCCGAGGCTAAACTAAGCTAGCAGTGTTGGGAGCAGTGAGTTAATTGTAAGCTTATGGCAGACAGTGCTGGCTGATAATGTGAGGAGAGTAAACAGCAACGGCGTCCTAGGTATTCTATAATCTTGTGTAATCTAATGTTAATTGTCTACCCATGTTAGCTGCTTTGTTAGAGTTGCTAATAACAACAATGGCTGAAGACTCACTAATGTTTTTGCCAGTTAATGTCACCAGTGACTGTAATGATTGTAAGTTTGTAGCTTAATACTGAAAATGCCACTCGTTTTCATACCTTAAATCTGCTGATACATTTGAATAAGTTAGAAATTACATTACTTGGCTGTCACTGGGGATATGGACTGGTAGCACTTCAGTCAGATTAGCTTTAGTTCCTGCATGGAGTTAAGTTATTATACTAATGTTTTACATGAGTTCATTTTGAATTCTGTCATTGTCAACACGGAAAACTGGTACCCAAGTGATGAGCTTTCTGTTTGACATCATTGTTTTGGTACATTGGTGTGAGCAAACTTCTGTTAGTGGAAAATCAGAATAAACCAAAAATACACAAAGTATTTTAAAGCTATCACTCTAAGTGCCAATATTTAGATAATTTGTGGACTAGAAATAGCAGTCAGTGTTCATAGAATAATGAATGTTTCTATTCCTACTAATAAGAAAGAAATGTAGTAATAATTCAGTGGTTTACTAATGTAGAAAGTTGTCTCTTACTCTTTCTGTAGAGAAGTTAAGGATCAGAACAATCCAGTGACATTCTAACCTCTCTTTTGCCTCTTTGTTTTCTAGTGTTGTAGGCTATGAGTGTGGGTGATGGAGGACAATCAATGTGGGGACTTGGACTACATGATCCAAGATGAAGACACCCTCATTGAGGGTGTCAGCAACCAGGTCTTGTTTGTTGTGGTGCTCAGCATCACCTTCCTTGCAGGCCTCCTCACTCTGCTCTGCAGGTAGGCAGCAAATTCAGGAGGATATTTGTGTCAAGTGGAGAATTACTCTTAACTTTTGGAGAAACTCTTTTCGAATGGAAGTAACTTTTCAGTAAAAGGTGATTCACACAATACTGGTTCAGTCTAGTACAATTTGCCTTATATAATGTAATCCACTGCACACTAAAGTTTTACTGCTTGCTCAGTCTTACATTGGAGAACCTGTCTCCACAGTTAGTTTGCCTGTAGGCACTGCTTGGTATTATAAATCTTTCTATGCTTAAATTAAAGTAGCCTGTTCGGCAGGTTTAGTTTTGCATCTCCTCTCCTCCTCTCTTTGCCATTTCTGCTGTTGGCTGCTGCCTCGCACTGTGTGATAGAAATGGTAATTTAGATTTAGTATTATGATGAAACCAAGCAAACTTTTCTTGGTGTTTTTTTAATTGGCTTTCCAAATAAGTTGCCACATTAACAATTTGGAAAAAACATTATTTGTCAGTTTGCATACTTGTGGGAGTGTGCTCATACACTCACATATTTCAGCTCAGGAATCTTTTGATGCCTAATGTCTCTCTTTTGACCTTGCAGACAAGATGAGCAGAACATTCATCCGGAGAATCAGGAGCATGTTCGAGCTGTCCGACAACAGCTTCAAACAGAGCAGGTACGCAGGCACATTCTAAGTTCTAGCCATTCTGGCCAAATATGGTTGGCAAAGATAACATACAAAAATAAACAAAATCAGTTTCAATTGTTATTATTCTTCTTTTTTTTTGGAGTGAATTCATAATTAGACATATTATTGTTGTAAGCATTGCACCTTCAGCACCAGTGGGTTTTTTCTTAAATCGTACTTTGCACCTGACATCAACATAGACAATGGACATTACCTAACATATGTCAAACGATAGAACATAATTGTTTTCAAATGCCACCAAAAGTATCAAAAACTATAGATTCAGTTAAAGTCTGAGAATCATATTGTAATTTGGATGCTATTAACCCTTCCATACTTCTGAACCAAAAGTTTTATTAAGCTATCTTATCAGTATCATATAACAAGGAAGAAAATAATACTTATTTTTATGTAATTGTATAAAAATGTATTTAGTTTGGAAGCAAGATTTACATATTTGGGCTAGAAAATAGTATAAAGTTTGGGAAGTAAGCTGCAAAGTCAAACAACCAGGAGTAACAAAAAAAGTGCAGTTTTCTACATTTTCCATACATTTGTGTTAATTTCAAAATGGTGATTTATTACTTAAACTTTTATGTGTTTGATTTCTTTCTGTCAGGATGAAAATACTCAGGCGGAGGCCAGGCAGCAGTATTACACGGACATGTCTTGTCCTGTGTGTTTACAGCAGGCTGTTCTGCCTGTGGAAACCAATTGTGGACACCTTTTCTGCGGTAAGACTGTTGTACAGATTCTAGTTAAACGCACTGAGCAAAACCAAACTATTACGTTATCAAACTGAGAGAAAAAATGGAGATGCTTGTCACTGCTGGAGACATATTTATTCTCCAGCAAATAGGTAATTGTCCCATCTTGAGTATGTTGTCTGCTGACATGGCTTGGTTTTAGATGATACATAGTAATCAGAATGTAGAATATAGAACAAAAATAATCAAAGCATAATTAAAGAGTTATTAGTTATTTTATTTTTAACTTGTGCTGTGCTCATGTGGTAAAGTGCTGTCTTTTCCTGCATAGGCTCCTGCATTATAGCTTACTGGAGGTATGGCACCTGGCTGGGTGCTATTAACTGCCCCATCTGCAGACAAATGGTGAGACTAAATGTTAATGAATGAATGAATATTGGATGTAGAATAGTTAATCTTATAATTACCATTTTTCCATGCCACGCCCAAAGGTAGCTGTTGTTTACTTCCAGATCAGATTGAATAGAACAGAGATAATTGCTAAATTCTCATCTATTAAGACTGGTGCTAATAATTGTTTGCTGTAGGTTATTGTCAGAATCAGTCCAAAAATGAGGGTGATGGACACCATACCATTTTGTATTGTGTCTGTATCATGTATGATTTTTTTCCCCCTTGCCCAGGTAACGTTGCTCTTCCCACTATTTCATGAGCATGCCGCTCCTCAGCAGGTCCAGGATGGCGAGGCAGAACCTATCCTCATATTAAGAGACATTAACGATTATAACCGCAGGTTCTCAGGCCAGCCACGATCTGTGAGTATACTACAGCCAGATGTGTGTTGAATCTGTAGCACTGTTGGTTAAAGATACAAGTATGCAAATGAGGTACTGACTAGAGCAGTGCATTATAAAGTATATTTAGAACAGACTTTTTCATAATTTCTTCCCTCCTCTGGTCTTTCAGTTTATGGATAGACTGCGAGATGTGCCCACCCTGCTTCGTCATGCCTTTAGGGAGATGTTTTCTGTGGGCGGCCTCTTCTGGATGTTCAGGATTCGAATTCTCCTCTGCCTAGTTGGTGCGCTCACCTACCTGGCCTCGCCGCTCGACATCCTCCCCGAGGCACTCTTCGGTCTCCTGGGATTCATGGACGATTTTTTTGTGATCCTGCTTCTCTTTGTGTACATCTCTATCATGTACAGAGAGGTGGTCACACAGAGACTGAATGGCTAGGAGCTCACTCATAAAAGGAGGCCTCAGCTCACTCACATCAGGCTCGGGGAGAGGCAGTATCTGAGGTTGACGTGTAAAGGCTGAATAAATGCTCAAAGGACAGTTGCTCAATAATGCTGGTTCACTTTGAAGCCTGGGATGTTACCTCATCACTGCAGAGGGGCTAGCAAAAGGTTGAACTCTGAATGTTCACTCCGTATTTATATATATATATATATATATATAATTCACCATCAATGGCTCAGAGGTCAAATGAAGTCAAGGCACACAATAATACAGCATAAGAATGGCTTTGAAGTTCGTTGAGAGACAGCCCTAACTGGACGCCTAACATTACGACCGACCGATTCTATAACAGCAATGCCAAAAGTCAGTCATTTGGTTAAAGTGCATCTCATCATAATGCAGACAGTTGTATAATATATGTAATCTTGAATGTACCATATTGATGGCAGTGTCTTGTCTGCATTCGGATTGTTGACTGTCAGACAAATCTGTGTTAGAACCATTTTACTGTGGCTATCACAGCCTGCTTGGTCAATTAAAGTGATGATGCACTTAATATAAGTAACCTGTGACTATGCATAATTCTTAATGACTTGAAAAACACAGATTTTCATCCCTCCAACTGTTTACATGTATTGATTAAATCTGAACCTTTCTGCATGCTTTCATGTGAAGTGGTGATGCACAGGACCACCTGTTTGTTGCAGTAATAACTTCTGAACTGGCAGATTTAAATTAAACATATAAAAGAGGATCGTACAAGGAAGGTGTCAAAGACTCGCCCAAGTTATGAATGTTAACTTACGATTTCAAAGTATACCTTGTCACTCTAAAGACAATTCTCGGTTTGGACGTGTCCTGTGCAGATCTTACAGTCTTAATCAGGTTCAAGAGTCCGTGGGTGAACAACTCTATGAACATCCCAAAGCTTCTCATATTTTTCAATGAAATTTTGGAACATTGGTTTAAATCTGTAAGTAAATAAAAAGCAAAAGAATCAATATTTAAAAATGAAGTTAACATGTTGTGTGGTATGTGGCAGTTCATTTTGTTTATATTTTGCAAATGGTGTGTACTTACTTGGAGCTCTAATGTTTTCTCTGGGACTAGATGGATGTAAAATGAATGAGTGAGATCTCTATGCTAGTGCACAGTAAAGATGCACTTCCCTGGCTTGTGTTGACTAGTCCAGCCAAAGGGAAATATCAAATTTTGATTGTTTGTTTATCAGATGAGGAAAAAAACATTGATAAATTAATTGAGACAATCATCAAGAGTAGATAATATCTTTTAAATCAGTAAAAATAGAACAGTTATTTCTGCTCCTGTTCCTAAAGTTACTGTGAGTCCATGGGGGGTCCCGACCCTCCAGGCTGAACATGGCGGCTTCAGAGTGGTAACTGAAACTGTATCCAGGCCATTTGCTTTGTTGGGGCTCTATTTGCTGAGCTAGCATTGGCCTTGGTGTTCATTAATAGTAGAAGAGGGTTGAGGCTCATGTGGTGGATCAACAGTCAACTGTAAAATTCACTCCGTGTGATTGACAGCTTCAGATCACCAAAAAAAGCCCATCAGTTGCCTCTTGGAGTGTTTTTTTTTTTTAGGTGTGGCACATGCAAACCTGCGTCATACCTTTCCACTGTTCTTACTAATGAGTGTTTTCCTCCTCTTTGTCTCTGGCATGTTTAAGCAATCACCAGTCTTTTATTTTTGATGTTCTATAGCTGGGAACCGGTTAGGTGAGAGTATTACTCTGGTGGGAAAATACTGCAGCTGCTGGAAGAGTCAGTGCTTTGGTGCAACCTGCATCTGAATTTACAACACAAGTGATTTATGACATCAAACACCTCAAAATACATTTTGTAAATATGTTATATGATACCATGATCCTCATACAAGCTGACACCTACAATATACAAGTCATTTATGTTGTGTTTCCTATGTCACTGACTGTCTCCGCCTTTCTCAAGATCAAGGAATCAAGAAAATGTATTCATCATTATACAAGACAAGGCTGTAAAACTAAATTAAGGTTAGTAGTTCCTTTATGCTATACGCAGAAAAAGATAATCAAATTCACAGAATAACTTAAAGGATAAATGGAATAGATAAATAAAAAAGGAACGAATCGGGTACATGTTCAGTGAAGGTGTAGATGAGACATCTATTCTTACTATAGTCTTCTTCCATTTTGGTGGGATTGTTTTTGAGTTCATTTATTAAACTTTTGCAATTACCCCTACATGAGGTATGAATTTAGTCCCATGTTGCTTGCCAATGTGTTTGTTTTGTTTTGGGAGCAAATTGCCCTCTCCAAATGGCAAATCGACATACCCGTGTTTATCACATGGCTGACGAAAGAATGCGCTCAATAAGTTGTTTTGTTTGTCTTTTAAAATGATGCAGTGTTCACATATGATATGTGTCACCTGTTATCTATGTCTGTCTGCAGTGACCTCTTTTATCAAAGTAATTGTTTTTTTACTGTGTTTTATTTTAATACAGTCCTGAAGAGGTACAATTATCCAACATGTACAACAGGAATGTCATTTTGTCTATGTTAAATATATTTTGTGCTTTCCTATGCTGGTAATCATCTTATGACCCTTTAATTTAACCTGCTACCATAGGTTTGGAACCACTTCCCTAACAGATGACTTTCAAGTTATTTTTTGCCCACATCTTTTCTTTCTCCTGGGGTGTGTGGCCCTTAATGTCCCAAGATGACTGCGTGGCAATTAGCCTACTTTGTATTTTGATAAATTAACAATAATAATGCATTTGTCTGTTGATATGTACCGTTCAAGCACTATAAAACAGAAATGGTAAATCAGCAGGTCAATCCAGCCCTGTTTGTTTGTTTGTCTGCCCTTGAATGTAGCTGTATATGCCACTTGAAAGCGCAGCTTCATATTTGTCTAAATCTCATCCACGCGTTTTATATGACATTAATGTTCCACAAGATTGTTTTGTTTAATAGTGGGAGTTTTCCTTTATGTGCACTGCAGACTCCGCCCACTCAGCCCTCCTCTGGCAGACGCCGGACTGGTGAGGCAGCGAACCCGACTATTGGCCGACAGATTGTGGAACACCCAGAGAGCGAGAGACCTCGGGAGTACATGAAGCCGACTGTTAACTTCAGGCTCTGTTCACCTCACAAAGTCGGTCTACGTTAGCTAACGATGAGTACATCAGAGACATTGGATCGAATGGAACTCTGTGAAAGCCTCCTGACATGGGTAGGTCATCAAATATGAAGTTTTTGATGCTTCTTTTGCGCTGACAGACAGTTATCCGGCGCCGGCGATGCTAGCTAGCGTACGAGGCTAATGCTAGCTCGATGAGCTAGCTGGGCTAACGTTAGCAGGGTAGGGGAAAATGACACGGGCTCACAGTGGTTACGTATGCAGGCCAGCTGTTTGCTGCTTTAGCTGCTGATGTGTTGCTTGTTAGCCGCCAGCAAACCAGCTACCCAGCCAAGACTGTAATTTTGGTCCTAACGTTATCTCTGCGATCGGGTATTTAGCTGGCTCAACTTTCCTAACGCTCTGTCGTAACGTTGTAAGGGGATCAGATCAAACGGCAGACGCTGGCCTTGTTATGGTTCAACGCTTTTTTAACGGTGGCTTTTTCCTCTGGGTTGAGGTTGTACCGTTACAGCTCGGTGTCTGCTTTGAGTCTGAATTCCTGTCATTGTTGCCCAGTGTATCATTATGTCCGCTTTCCCTTTCCCTTCCCCATTCCTCTTTCTGATCAAAAAAATGTCTCATACAGGGAAGCTAGCTTTCCCGAGCTTGTAGTTATAACGATACTCTAACCCGCTCCAGTCAAAGCCTGAAACAGATATCTAACGTTAAGCTGCCGAGAGGAATAAGGCATCAGATTGTAGGATCACATGTTACCGATTGGTGTATGTTTACGTTGTTGAAATGCAGCTATGTGACTACAGCTGATATATTTTTAGCTTGACATCAACGTGTACATCTTAAATGTGCTGATGTTGTGGGTATGACTGTTTGTGCTTTGATTCAATAGTTAGTCCAAAGCAGAGATTGAAGTCTGAGGGAAAAAAACAACTGCTGATGTGTATATGATAACCAAGCTGATAGACATTTAGTGTTTGACTAAAGTTCAAACTATCTTAACTGTAATGTACTTTTAGGCAATGAAAGGGAAACAACTGAATACATACATATCATGCCTCAGCTTGCATCACAAAGCATTACTCTGGATGTGGAGTAAACAGAGTTTTGAAGGGACTGGTTGAGATGGCATGTGATGGAAACTGTGCATGTATAGATACATGTTTTCATATACTTACTATACACTACTGACATTTATGCCAGTAGTGTATAGTGAAAACATGCATCTGTTGCTGTTATAGTGGAGCTTAGTACAAGCAAGTGACCCTGCTCCTGCTTCGTCATGTGCTTCCTTACATGTCATGCAAGCATGCTTGAAATCAATTTGTGGATTCCCTTTTGTGAAATTGAGAAATAGGTCTTTCAGAGCTGATATGTTTCATGTGAATATTTATATTTTCACTATGAAAACAAAAACAACAATGTAGTCAGCAACCTAAAATCAATTCACACGCATTCACGTCCAATCTGCATTCTGTATCTGTCTCCTCCACCTTTTGTTGTCATAGCTTGGCTCATGGATGACAACCTAGAATGGCCTTTCTTGTTCCTAGTAATGATGTGGCTGGCAAACATTCCTCACATACCTGTTAACTGTGAAGTCACATCACTGAGTGTGACTAGTTGTTACTAAAATGTGTGAGACTGTACCTCCTTATGAAATAGCAGTAAATATATCTCTGCAACTGTTTCTGCTTGGGTCAGGAATAATAATAATAGTAATAGGAAGGGTGAGTAGTTTTGATTGAAGGGATACTGAGAAACACAAAGCTCCTACTAAGTAGTGTGTTGTTTTTAGTTAATATATTATATTGACTTATTAGTATGTTATTAACAGACTTATTAGAAGCCACAATACTAAGTCAGTTGTGTTAACAATTGTAGTTTTTTTTGTCATGAATGGCCAGCATGGCACCTATCCCAGCTCTCTTCCTTTCCTCCTGGGGCAACCACATCACCTGCTAAAGTGAGCTGGTCCTATCTGGTCAGTCTGACCTGTGGTCTGCTGCTCTTTATTCCAAACCCCATAGTTCCTTTTCCAATGAGTGTAGGCAATTTCTGTCATAGGTAATGCGTGTTTCAGCAATAAAGCCCCCAAAAAAAAGATTAAAACAAAAACAGAGAAGTATTGACAAGTTACTAATCAGGTAATTGTTATCTGATGGTTTTTGCCCATTGTACAAAAACACTCTATCTAATAAGATAATGAGATGCAAATTATGACACTATATCTCATGACATTGTAGTCATTTAACAACAATTATAAATCTTTCCTGTTTTTGACTACATAAACATATTTGTGTCTAGAATATAAATTTTGGTATACAAGAAAATTGATTTCAATCGAGCACAGTGCCTGCTATGCATGAGCTAGCTTGTAACTTCAGTTGTCAATACACATGGTGAAGTTTTGTGTATTAATATATTTAATTAATAATTTTCCTACATATGAGCTTTATACCTTTTTAAAATATAGAGGTAAAATATTGCTTAATAAAACAAAAACATAACTGGATGTGTAGCGTATAAACTATTGCAGCACCACTTAAAAATAATCATGACCGACCTTTATGGCTCTCATGCTTTACATGGCAATGTAAGCCAATGTAAGACAACTAGATGCATTGGCTGCATTGTGTCATGGTTATTTTTGTTGCACATATTGTTTTGCAGTTGAAACCTCTTGCATCGTGCACCACATGCACATTCGCCGTTACTGTCAAAGTTGTACAAGGTTGGCATGTGTGGCATTGGTATACTAATCTTCCTTCAGGAGAAATAGCCTACATATATAACTATGTAGCTGACTGAAGTACTGTAGGATGCAGCCTAATGTAGGTATTTGGTAGTTTAGAGGGCCACGTATCCTCTTCACAACGATAACATTAATTATGAGTTCATGCAAAGGCTTTGCAGGCCATTTTTTTAGTCCTAGTCATGTGACACATGCTTTTTCCACAGCTTGACTGCCTCTCTTTCCAAAAGTTTCCATAAACTCGTAGGTGTGGATTTCCTTTTTTGAGCTCAGTCTGCCTTCTCTGAGTTGTGTATGTCCATGCTTACGTGATGTACTGGAGCCAGCATTTTCAAGAGTATGATTGTTGGTTGTTATCTTTTCTTTGATTAAGGTCTGTGTTTTTTTCAAAAAAACACATACCCACCTTTAATAGATTTGAAATATAGTTTACATCACATATTTCTAGTGTTTATGTTATATTTTGTTGCGCTTTGTGTGCTGCAAATGTTGTTACAGATATTATATCAGCTCTTGTACATGTGACTCAGAAAGCTGAGGGTATCATGGGAAATCCACCTTTCGGTGATGCATTTTCTGTCTCCCTAGGGTCCACTGTATAAAACTTTTTAAGGTCTCATACAATGTCAGACATTTTCATTTTTCACTGCAGGTGTAACTTATAAACCCCAATGTATACAGGCAGTCTTGAACTCTTGTATCTCCCCTTTTACCAGATTGCTATGCATGATGTGATCAAAGCATACTGATTGTAATCTGGCAAGACTGTGGAACATGAGCAAATCTTGTTAAACTTCAACCCCAAAATTCCTCAGTTCACATGATGCTTTGTTTCCAGATTAATTGATTTTAAACATAGATTGGGAACTAACAGGATCTAAGCTACTGCGCAGAGAAATAGCACAAGATGTTCTGTGGTGGACATCCAGTATTCATCTGTACTGCTTAACCAGTATTGTGTGGTTCCAGTGACATAGTATAATGTTAAACATGTATTCAGAAAATGAAATTATAGCATTTAACTAAAAACAACAAGAAGTCACATCACCATGGTTAAATATAAGGAAGGCCAGAAGTACTAAATTAGTAATTGTGCTTGAGAAATGTTGACAGAAATGGCAATATTGCAGTTCTAAAACCACAAAATTACTCGTTCAGTTGGATATTGTTGAACATTACATTAAAAAAAAAATAGTAGTTATGAACAGCAGGGTAACTGTTAAAGTTGTTTTGTTCAGAAATGAAGGGGAAACAGAAAATGTTACTCCAGTAGATGCAGTGCAGTGTTTGTTGACCCCTTTACACCCTGCAGTCAGTGCTTCAAGGTTCAGTGATTAATATAATCATAATAAGCTGATTTGGAGGTGACCCTGATGACGTAGGGGGACATGGTTTAGCCCGGACCTACCTGGGAAGAGTTCTGATGTTGCAACTGAAATCAACAAAGTGTGGATAGCTCCTATTAATCCTTTTACACCGTGGATGACAGGCCATTGACATTTAATCCAGAAACAACAGCTTAGAGGTTTAGCATAAGGACACCACTCGCACAAAGACACATTGATTTCAGCCTTAGCACAGCGTTTACCTAACAGGAAGCTTGATTCAGAAGTCTTTCACGAGCTATCCAGTTTTACACAAGGTGTTTATTTATTGATTCTTACACAGTGTAGATGGATATACCAATATGGGGATAAAAGTAAGTCTGTCTACAAAATGCAACAGATTTGGATGTGTCAGATCTCAAGTATAATCCTGGTAGAGGTGTCTGATCTGATACCTCAACTCATGAGGCCGAAACTATTGATTTTGCATTCGGCCATTGATTCGTTTCTGGCTCAGAAAGGCTTCGTAACAGTCTGTTGATGGCTGTGGACTGATCGTCATGTTTGGAGAAATGTCTCTGTCGAGGCATTTTTGGGTGGTCTGTGTCTTTTTGAGAGGACCTATTTTCTTTCCTTGCACCTCTCTCCTGCAAAGTAAAAAGGTGCAGACCAAATGTGGCTGTGGTGGAGAGCCATCACAAAGTTCAGAGCATTAGGTGTATAGGCAACCATGTCTACTGTGACGCTTGTCTAGTTTTAGTTACATTTAGCGCTATTACTCTCACTCCAGGAGAAAGGTGATTTGTCTTGTTAAATTATCCCACCCAGTATATTGTATAGTTCTGTTAATAACATGTTTATAATACAGCATTTAAAAAAAGGGCAATTTAATGCATGTTTGACAAACCGTTAATTGCTACTCCATCCATTGTAATGCGTGTTAAAATGCAGTGCCATCTCATTTGCCAGCAATGTGTTGTACTAGTATCTAAACACAGGAAGTTAGCATGTATCCCACTATACAAGATAACGGAGCATCGCAGGACAGGGTGTAATCTTGATCTTGCTGTAGAATAAAGTTGGTACTGTTTAGTTGAATTGGTCGATAATTGAGTGAGCACTATGGGTAATTCAAGCGTGTCAAGTTTCTTCTCTCTGGTAGTTGGTGTGATATAATCAGGGGTATTGTTTTGCTTCTGCATTTGTTCTAGCACAGTGGTCGGCTTTATCTACAAACTGCCCGACTGATACACAGAGATGCTATCTTATTGATGCTTGGCTATCTGAAAGCACTCTGAAAGCTAATTAGCAATTTGAATAATAATCAGGTGTCATCATGTGTAGGTGAGTATCATCTGGTTTGCAGCAGCAATGTAGGAAGCAGGACTTTGTTGTTGGATCAGTTTTACGCAATGTGTGCTTAAGGAAAGTCTTGACAAAATTTCAGGTTAGACCCCAAGTGACCCCGTTAAGGTTATTTGGTGGTCATTGCGGCACAAAAGAAATCTGAGGTTCATGTAAAATACACTTCATCTAAACATTAAAAACATTAAGGTTATTTTGATTTATCAAGCGATAGTGTGGATGTTATTTTGATTTATCAAGCGATAGTGTGGATGTTATTTTGAGTGTCATGTTGCCCTCATGCCATGTCAGGTTTGTCCTTTCCTGTGTACAGTGTCAAATGTCTTCTTGTTTACTAATCTCTGTCTCTGCATATAAGCAATAATACACGGCTCTCCTTAGATAGTTTTCAGGCTTAATGAAATGCTGCTCCATATCAAAGACCTAGGGAATTGCTTCTAAAGAATTAAATAAATTATTCAACCACTTTTCCTTTTAAACTTACACAATTTAAACTTGCTGAGAACAGATTATAGCAGCTCAGTAGTCGGAGATGGTGTTGTTGCATCATGTTTATTTTAAGAAAATTGACTCTGCAGCCTGTAGTGTCATAGCAGTGGATTTAGATGGCAAGTTAAATTGCATATTATTACCAACCCAGCACTTTTAGCTGCTTTTCACTGTAAAATCTTTCCAATCATAAGAATTTCAAATGAGTTTTATGTTGGAAACGATGACAGTTAATTTCAGTTCATTTACTTCCTGTGGATCCGTCATAAACCCTTCATCAGCCCGGGTCCCTGGTTTATAGACACTCTGTTGAATCTCTTATTTGTTGCTCTCTGCTCTTGGCAAATTGGCGACTGAGGGCTTGAGAGCTGCCACGATGTGAAAAGTGAGAGCGACAGAACGATGTGCAGGCTGAATTTCAACCTCGTCATTTTCTTCCTGTCAGAATTCCAACATTCCTGCTCTCAATTGCCCCTCTCTGGCACGTGGACTTTTGGCATGTAGACTGAAAACTATTCACTTCTGTCTGTGCAGCAGACTTTTAGCCTAGAGGGAGAGCATTAGAGAGGGATTTGCAGGACAGAAAGAGAACTAAGACATGCCAAGTGAAGTCTGAAAAAAGTGATGAAGGTGATGTAAGAGAAACTGAGCAATGATGACAAGCAAAGTTGAGAGGAAGTTTGCAGGAGCAGCAAGTGTGAGCTGACTGTTAACCTGCCCTTTAAAGATATGTTGTGGTAATATACCATCAAGCCCTGCTTGCTGAAATATCTGAAAAGAGTAAAATGAGGGTGAAAAAGCAAGAATTAGCATAACAAAACTGTCTAATCAAATTACAGATTTTATGTATTCATCCTGATGCTGATTTAAAATGTAGTTTACCTTCACTGTCTCCTGATCAGAAAGTGAAAAGCAAGCATCAGTACACTTTCCATATATCGCTGTATTTCACACCTCTGAACCAAGTCCCATTCTCTCTTCTGCAGATCTTATTGTAGGTGGACCAACTCGCGACTCGATGTAATTGTAGACTTTTATGAGGCACCCCGCGCTCAATGTGTTTGTTTCTGTTTGTCATTTAGATCCAGACATTTGGAGTGGATGCTCCATGCAAGACAGTAGAAGACTTGACGAGTGGCATCGTCATGGCCCAAGCACTACAGAAAATGTAAGTTTTCATTTGAAAATGCATGATGTTGTTTGGCATTATTGGTGGCGTTCCTGTGCAAACTGAATTCTATGTTATTGGAATATACCAGAATGCGTTGTCAAAATGATTTATTAATAACTAATAATTAAGTAAACGTATTAGAACATTCAGTCAGGCTGTCACTCCATCACTGTAGACTCAGCTTTATTTCTCAGTTCCCTAAGCCTGTAGATTGAGATGATGCCTCTTCTTGGTAGCCCCCTCAAAAACTGCCCACTTTGTTTGTGCCTTATTCACAAAAAGACACTTCAGAAACACTTCACACTGTTTAATCCATATTCTCCTCTCTGTCTGAATTTTCTAGAGATGTAGTGTATTTCAATGATGCTTGGATTAGTAGAATCAAGCCAGAGGTTGGGGACAACTGGAGGTTAAAGGTAAGCATCAGTTATTCTTTGTTTTATTCATAGGTATGCATGGTAAGGTTCTGTGAGGCCATTTCCCCCATTAGCTGCATGACATAGAACACCATTCCTAGTGTAAATGAATAATATCTTTATCCAGAAATGGTAACTATGTTGTATGTTGCAATTATGTTGAATCGTATACGTGATCCCACTAAGACTACTGTTACTATTAAAATATTTATTTGATTTTGGTTAATCATAGATTACTAATCTGTGTTTGAACTTTTTTATGAGTGACCATTAATACTTTGCTTCAGTATAGCCTGTGTTAGTTGTATTGCTGTTTCTGATATTCTAGAGGTACCCATTTAAGTTCTCTCGTTACAGATCAGCAACCTAAAGAAAATTCTGAAAGGAATCCTCGACTATAACCAGGAGGTAAGAGTTTACCTTATTCATTTTGAAATAAGAAGACTTGGTCAGTTCCCAGCATCAACATTACACAAGTAGCTGTGTCGATGAACGAAGTTGTGACTACTCCGCCCGTAGTCCCTTATGCACAACACAGGCCATGATAATCTAGTTTTCATATAATGAAATAATTCCATTATTGCATTTTGTCCCTTTCTAGATCCTAGGCCAGCACATTAACGACTTCACATTACCAGATGTTAACCTTATTGGAGAGCATTCTGACGCAGCAGAACTTGGGAGGATGCTACAACTTCTACTGGGCTGTGCTGTCAACTGCGAACAGAAACAAGGTGCATATTCCTTACTCTGTGTTAAGGCTGCTCCGATTGATCGGCCGATATCCACTCTAATTAGTTTGAACTCCGATCAGTTGACGCATTCATTTTATTCTGCAGGAAAGTTATTCAGTCTTTGACACAGATAGATTTACTTGGGTGGGCCGCCTGGTATATTAACAGTCAGGGACTTGTTTTAGCATTTTGCAGAGAACAGAGAGAGAGATGTTATCTGGAAGATGTTTTACAAGCAAGGAGCAGGTAAAGAAACTGTTGCGTTTTTGATAAACAATGTAATTAAAAAGCCTCCTGGTTAATGCACGGCTTATCTGCTGGGAAAAAGGAATTGCGGGTGAAAGCATTTAAAACCTGAGGTGTGTCTTGGGTGACTATAAAACATACTGCTGACCAAAGTAACAGAGCAGAGACAGCCTGTATATGGAAAGAGGAGCAGAAAGAAGCGGGGCCGCCAGTGTGTGTGTGTGTGTGTGTGTGTGTGTGTGTGTGTGTGTGTGTGTGTGTGTGTGTGTGTGTGTGTGTGTGTGTGTGTGTGTGTGTGTGTGTGTGTGTGTGTGTGTGTGTGTGTCAGGGTAAAGATGAGGGGAAAAAACAAGTGTACAAAGTATTTTGTGAGTAAACAGTAAAACACCAAAATAAGGTGGACAATGAAGTTAAATTAAAATGGTGAAATAAGACATGGTGTACAGAAATATATCCTCCACACTTTAACTGTCATTCTGTGGAAACACTGTGGAGCTCTGAGCTGCTGCCAATAACCAACAACCGGCTGAGGTTTAAGTTGTGTCATGTTGAACATGTTGTGTGCCAATAAATACATAATAATACACAGTAAGTAAATACACAGTTGTCAATTCATAATTTAATAATTAATGAATACTTAATATATATATATATATACAATCTTGTTAAGAATAATAAATAATGATCAATAAATAAGGCTACACTATGAATATAAGGCTTTAAATAGACCCAGTGATGGATATCGGCTGATACTACTTCTAGTGATCAAGCTACAAAAAAAGGAAAACAAAAAAGAACTACTGAACAGGACCGAACAATTTCTTTACCCTCTGCAATTTGCAGACTAACATCCATGCACGCAGTGCATATGAGCATCGGGATGATTTGGTATTCAGTGAGGTTCCCAAGTCTGTGCGCACTTTCTCTTTTGTCTGTTGATATCAATCTCTCAAGGTCAAGCACAAAAATACCCTCAGTGTGTGCAGCAAAATACCTGACACTGCACAGGGAACTCTGCAGGATCTTTACAACAAACAATCTAATATACTGTTCTAATAATGTACATATATAAGAGAGCAGAATCCTTCCTGTCTGATGTGCTGTTCCTACCCCTTACAACAACAGTTTCAGTTCCTGTCTTCTGATACCCACCAGATTCCTTTAGCTAAAATAAATGGATTCAAACACACCTTTATACCCTCTGCCATCTTCTTAAATTCTAAGTGGAAAGGGTAGTTATTTGCATTAATGTTTTAACTTGTGTGTTTAGGTTTTGTTGGTCTTAGTGTTGTATTTATGAATTTATGGTGTTTTATGTTTTATATTTGCTAAATGTATGCACCCAACTGCTGCATAACCAGTTGCCCTTCTGGGATCAAATAAATGGATTGACTGATTGATTAGGTGATATTGTTGTCTGTGTCTGTGTTCTCTAGAATACATCCAGACCATAATGATGATGGAGGAGTCCGTGCAGCATGTTGTCATGACAGCCATCCAAGAGGTGAACTATCATGCTATTTAAACCTCTGATTAACTGCTGGTGATGATTGATTAATAATGATAGCATTGTGCGATGGGTCAGATTTAGACCATTATCATCATCATTACTGAATCAAGGTGTAACAGGTGTTGATGCTGTGTACAGCTTCTTGCAGTCACTAATTTATTTTTGTGTGTGTCTGTAGCTGATGAGCAAAGAGACTCCAGTTATGGGAGGAAATGACTCATATGTGGATCTAGACAGACAGGTATGGAGACTTTAATACATTTCTGTTTACTAACAGTGCCATCAACAAGGTCTCAGATTTCAGAAAGAACGCTATATGTTCTGTGAATTTTGCTGATTGCTATTTGGTATATTTTCACTGCATGAAACTTCATTCTTTCCATATGTTCCATGCTAACAGGAAGTATTTAAGTTTAAATGTATCTTGCCTGTATTAAATTAGCTTGATTTTTAAGGTACAGTATTAAACATTCGCTTGCCAAACCCTTTGAAATCACACACAGACACCCTCCAGTATCTGTATTTACCACTGAAACCTCAAAACCAATATCATAACACACAACAGTCACAGTAAAAGATGAACCAGACTCCCTCCACCTCGTGTCTCACCCTCCTTTTTTGTGGAAGAGCTAGCTTCAGCAGAAGCATTGCGCTCCTGTGTAATTATTACTGTGTACAAACTGCAACACAAACATGTCACACTGTATTGTATAGCCCTTCATCCCACACGCCCATGAAATGTAAATTAGTGTTTCTTTTGTCGCATCCAAGTGGACAACAAATTGTGTGGAATTCAAATCAAATCTGCAGGGTCTTTATTTGCTGTTTCTTTGTGTTCTCAGCTGAAGAAAACAGTAGAGGAGCTCAATGATGCTTTGGCTACCAAGGAAGAGATCTCCCAGAGGTGTCGCGAGCTTGACATGCAGGTTGGTTTTATGTAGTTGCGACCCCCCATGTTTTAGGCTGTTTGATAACTGGCTTTGTAAACCGTAGCACAGTGTGCAGGTACTCTTATCACATGTCTGAATGACCTAACCTGAAAACCATAAACCCCACCAGTAGGTCTTGTGGGTCAGTTATTTATTACAGTAGCTCACTACTAAAAAAGGGAGCATGTGAATAATTGAGATTAAAGTTATTATGACAGGACCATTTGGTGTATTCATGGTGCTGAAATTACAATTGTAAGCGTTCCATCACAGAATTTTCAAATCAAATCAAAATCGAATATCACTATTGTTAGGAAAATGTTGCTCTAATCAAATATATATTGTTAAATTTGAACTGTAAATGTGAGCAATGTTAACTGTGTTGAGGTAATGCAATTTGAAACTGAAATTTATCAAAAAAAGTAAATGGAATTCAGTGGTTTTTCATCTAAAAGACTAAATATGTGTGGCATACTGTAGCTAAATGAGCACTTGTCTTGTTTTAGTCATATAGTTAATTAGGCTGAATATATTCAAAGTGTAGAGAAAAATAACATTGTATAAACGCATAGTATTCCCACATTCACCAAATTAGAAGTTTTATTCTTACTTTGTCTGCTATATTTTGTAACTCTTTTACTATATAACTGATTGTGTCATACTTCATACTTTTAAAGCTATTTTATTGGTTACACTTTAAAAGCAGCTCCCTTTTCTGCATAATTGCACTGTAATGGTATCAAAACGGCTGATTCTGTTACTACTGATGTACCTTTCCTATAATTATTTCGTTGTCAGATTGTTTTATTTTTTCACCTTAACAGTGATGAACTTTTGCAAAAGGAGAGTAACACACTATTTCTTTCTATCTTCATAGCAGTTGATCACAATGGACATACATATTTTACATTTATTTTCTGCTAATGACACAGTTTTTGCTAGAAAAATGGAGCTGTCATTTAAAGCGGTGCCTGCTCTCCTGTTGTGTCCTCTTATTTCCTGACTATTTCAATACTGTATGCCTTGCTTTAAAGGCCCTCCATGTCCAAGAGGAGCGTGATAGACTGAGGTTAGAGTTTAATGAGCTAGAAGAGAGGGTAAATCCAAACTTTCTTTTCTCTCTGTCTCTTCCATCCATGGTGTGTGGTGTGTCTAAAAGTCCTGGATTTTTTTTCAGTCTGCTTGCACCAGCATCCCCTGTGGAATCCAGAGTCCCTTTCTCCTACTTATGTGTGCATGTGTGTGTACACGTTTGTGCACAAGTGTTTGTGCACACGTATACACGTGGTCCTCTTGAGGCACACCAGGCACAACTGCAGTTTTGTGTGGGTGTGTCAGTTGTCACCCCTTCACTAATATCCCTCTCAGCCTTTTTACCTTGGTGTGTTTCATGCTTTCCCACAGCAACATTAGACAGTAAGAGGAAGAGCTTGGCTTTTGGGTGCAGGAAGGGGATATTTCTTGGCAGAGCTGTTGAATATATATATCAAATATTTACACATACTGAATATTTATTCATATGTGATATCACTATTTTAGTTTTGTTTTTCCATTTTAAATGAAAAAAAGCACACCAAGAATCTTGTTATAAAAAAAAAAAAACAGGACTCTGGCCAGCAAGCGATCAGCAGCATCTACTGTAACTCAATATTCATAGGAATTAAGTATGTTTTTAAGAAAACCCTATTCTGGTTTTAAGAATGAATATAACTGAGTTCCTCTCCATTTCCTTCTTTTTGAGCTGTCCTGATCACGTCTTTGATGTGATGTAGGCTTGTTGCAGTGAGAGAATTTTCACACTGGTGCAAGTTCTCCTAGAATGCTTCCACATAACAGTGTTACAGGCGTTTAAATGGCATACATTTTACACACAGGAGTGTTAGACAACATTAAAAAAAAAAAACACATTGGCTTATAAAATACACAAAATGAATTATGCAAAATAGATTATACAGGCGTTATAACAATTCAGTGTCTAGATACTGTAGGTATAATGAAAATAAAATAATATCCCTTTCACTTACATATGCTATTTAGTTTTGTGGATATCAGCCAGTTTAGGCTCATATAAAGGTAACTTTCCCAAAAAAGCATGTTTATATTTTCTCTTAAGAAAAAAACATTAATGTCAGTTCAGCACTTACATTAACTGAGGTACAACAGACTAGTAAATAGTTAGTATTGTGGTACATAAAAACTGCTTCTGCTTTGCTTTGTGTGGAGTTTGATACCCTGTCTATCACATTGAGAAGGCAACATCAAACCATATGTAGCCCTCTGTGCTATGTTGGAGTTTGTTGGTTTGCCTTGTTGAAGTGTGTTTGGTGTGTGCTTGCTTTATTACCAAACTCAGTGCTGCAGTGATTGTGAATAACCTATCGGACTGAATGCTGTGAAGAAAATGTTACATGCACATTAAAGTAGCTTGAGAGATACAATTTGAAAGTTTTCGGTTTCATTCCCTGCTAACTTATTTCTCTTCTCTGCTTGTCTTCTCTATCTAAACATCCTTTCCATCCCTTTTTACACCTCCCACGCTCCCTTTTATCCATCTGTCCTCCTCCATCTCTGTCTGCCATTTCTGCTCCTTTTTCCTTTTTGCATTTCTATCCGTCCCTCCTTTTGCCATCTTCTCTCCCACAGGTCGCTGCCCTGCAGGAGGAGAAAAGCAGTTTGCTGGCAGAAAACCAGGTCCTTATGGAGAGACTTAACCAGTCTGACTCCATAGAGGATATAAACAGCCCAGCTGGACGCAGACACCTCCAGCTGCAGACACAACTGGAGCAACTACAGGAAGAAACCTTCAGGTGTGTAGCTGCTCGAAGGAGAGGGATTCTGTCATACGAAAAGCGAGTTGCCAAGTTGCATTGGCTGATAATGGTGTCAAAAGTCTTAAGATTGGAAAGATTACTATTGTTGCTTATTCTCTCTTAGGCTGGAGGCAGCAAAAGATGACTACCGGATCCGTTGTGAAGAGCTTGAAAAAGAACTTTTGGATGTAAAGTCACAGAATGAAGAGCTTGCATCACTGGCTGATGAAGCCCAGTCGCTCAAGGATGAGATGGATGTTCTCAGGTAAGTCAGAGATTAATAAAAAAAAAAGAGATTACGTGAGTAAAGCAAACTAAACACTAAGCAAGTGCCTAATTGTTTGCAAAATCTCACCTTAGAGAATCACAAGTTATAATGTTAGCATTCATTGTCTTACAGATGATGTTTGTTATGCGCTTATTTAAATGCTATTTTAAAGATTGTTTTAGAATGCAACAGGTGATAAACCATTTTTTATAACCCATGAGAGGCTATATGACATGAAATGTATCAGGATGATGTATTGGTTGCTAAAAACATGCACATTGCATAATTAAAGATATAAATTATTTGAAAAGTAAGAAGACTTGCACCAAAGGCCGAATGGGAGTGGAAATTTGTCAGAAAAACAGGAGATGACAGAAGACAAATAATGTATTGTTGAGCCACTATCCTGTTATTTCAGACTTCTGTTGTTACAGGTGTGTTGATACACAAACAGAGCCTTGGTAAAACTCCCCTCCCCCCTTTGCTTTTTGAATGTAACATCACAAAATGAATCTCTTTCTCTCCCAGGCATTCATCAGACAAAGTATCAAAGCTGGAGGGCACAGTGGAACACTACAAGAAGAAACTGGAGGACATGGGACTTCTCAGGAGACAGGTAGACAGTCACAAACAGACAACAGCAACAACTTAATATATTTAATATGAGGAGTTCTCCTTTTTTCTAACAATACTTTACACAGCGTCCATTGGTTTGCAAGAAACATCTTGTTCCAATCAATATCTTTTACTAATGACCTCCCTGTTAGTCTAACAATTGGCAATATTTGTTCGTCCAAGTTAAACTGCATAAATAAAACGTATAATTCTGTTGTTATATTCCAGAATAAGCTAATGGAGGAGAAGAACACGGTATTAATGCAGACCAACGTCAGTTTGGAGGAGGAGCTACGAAAGGCGAATGCTACTAAGGGCCAGCTGGAGACATACAAGAGACAGGTACCCAACCAACAGCCATGTGCACATGCAATAATTGTTATTTAAATGGCAGGGTGATGTACCCCAATTGTAACTCTCACACACGTTTATAGTATATTTGGAGAGATGATGTCTTCTCATTAAGTGCCCTTTCTCTGCACAGGTGGTGGAACTTCAGAACAAACTGTCAGAAGAGTCTAAAAAGGCAGACAAGATGGAGTTTGAGTACAAACGAGTCAAAGAGAAAGTGGACTCTCTACAAAAAGAAAAAGATGTACGTAAAGTAAATTTTATTCATATAATAGGGTACACTATAAAACAGTGTCCCAACAGTATTCCTTTTACTTTGCAAACACATAAATATACAGTTTTCATAGAAATATCCCACAATATATTTTATAGATGTACAAGAAGGAGAGGAGTAACATTGGATAATACCAGAGGCCAGGAAATGCTGCAGTGTGTTAGCTGTCCCTAATTGATTTACAGATGCATTCTGTAGGCACATTGGGGATATTCATCCCAGACGTTGCATTATTTCTCCCTGTCATACTTTTTCTGTATTAGTGCATCACACATTTGTCACTCCCTCTGTAGCGTATGCGGACGGAGAGAGACTCTCTGAAGGAGACTATCGAGGAGCTCCATTGTGTCCAAGCCCAGGAGGGACAACTTACAGCAGGTAAAATTGATGACTGTCAAAAGGGGCTAAATATGGGTAGCTGAGCATGGCCTTTTTAAAGCTACAGTAAGCACAGTTTACTTGGGCAAGCTTAAATACCTCCAATGTTATCTTATTACTTGGTTCAGGTGACTGCCTCTCATTGGCTGGCACTTCTATATAGGTGTAGACACATATGTGTTGTTTGTTTGTTTAAAGCCCTGACGAAGACCTACAGTGGCCATTACAATACATGCTTTTTAATATTGTCCTGTTTGGAGTGCCTGGATTGCCTTTTTTTCATCCACAATCTGTTTGTTTTAGGTTTGTTACCATTGGCCAGCAACGACGGTTCGGATTCGCTGGCTGCTGAGATCACCACCCCGGAGATCAGGTATGACTTTTGAACCCCAGTTTTTCTTTTTTCTTTTTACTTTTTTAAAAGTATAAGAGAATAGAGAATAAAATACAGTAGAAGTACAAATATCAGATCATCGGACATAAATATATTTGGTAGTTGGGTAAGTTATGGTAAATATCCCTTCTCAAATATCACATCATAGCATCACATCTGTCTTGTTTCAAACAACATGCTTTCAAGATTTTGGGATTTTGGTTTACGACAACATCTATGCTACACACATCAGTCAAGCTAAAGGATAAGATTTGAGAGTTGCTTTACAGTGTAGACAGTTGTATTCTCTGCAGATGTTGCTAATCCTGTGTATGCACATGCTTTGTTTGTGCTGCTGCTGTTTTACTTTGTAGCCAGATTTTTCTTGCCAGTTACTCTTGCTCTGTATGCTGTGGTAAGATAGATGAGCCTAAAAAAAGCCACCTCTGTAGCGAGTTATGTAATAGTTGTGTGTGTGAGTTACATCAGCCTGACTGCTACTTTCCAAGAGGGCTGGGTTTTCTGCTGGCTGCGTGCCGTGTCTTGATGAACCAAGAAAAATGTGGATTTACCTTGAAGTTGTGAGTTAAGCCAGTTGAGGCGATTCTTTCTAATGTAGAGATGGTAAGAACTGCTGTTGTGCCCTGAGGTGATGTCATATCCTGCAACCTTTCAAAAATGGAAGTAAGATGTTGCAATATTGATGTTTCCTGTGAGAGATCTAAAGAGAGTCACTCTGTGTGTGAAATACAAAATTGATAATTGGGTGTCTTGGCTGATATGTGCTCATTTGTGTCTGTTGGTTCGGTTGTTAATTCAACATCCAACAGTGAGTGTGGAAAACTGAAGCTGGCTGTACCTTAAACCCATTACTTTCATAAGCAGCATCTGGGATTGATTTTTTTATAAACTATAAAACAGCTGGAAATTAAGTTCTTCTACTGTGTAGGAATCAGATCTCCACTAGAAGAAATCCGGTCATGTTGGTGTCATATTATATTCAATAAGCTGTATTAGAACCTCTTTTCTAGTCTTCTTTTGCCTTCCCTGGCCTAACCTTTGTCAGCCTGCAGCTGTGAGTTCATCTGGAAATATTTAGTAAGTTCTCCAGTTGGAAAGGAGGCAGCCACACCCTAAAAAAAAACACAGACAGAGAGTGACTGTGCTCAACACTATCAAACAGCAGATCCAGTCTTATCTGTTCAGTCCCACTATACAGTATAACAAAGCTTTCTACCTTTCTGTCTTTCCACCTGACATTTTTGTGTTTATCTAAGTACAAAAAGTCTCAGTCCTGCTTTTTTACCTCCCGTTCTACTGTGCAGATTGCTCTGTTTTGTTGGTTCTTTCTTTTCTCTTTTTTCTTTTTCTCTCTTATTTTATTATGCAGAAATATAAATTAATGGGCAAGTGAAAGTGGGTGCACAGTCTGTTTCCACAGTAATTCAAGAAAATGAATATAGGGAAAATAGATCAATACTGCTCTGGTGAAATCTTTTGTTTTCTGAATTTTTTTTCACTGAATTTAACTTACCTGCTACCACTACAAATATAAACCTCTTCACTGCCTGTCACAACACTGTAAAGGCAGTCTTTATCAACCCTGTCAATGCTACACACTGCTGAGAGGAAACATAAGAGCTGCAAAGGTGTTTGCATGAATGCAATAATGCAAACTGGATAATAGAACTAAAGCTATAAACTATAAATTGTATAGCTTGCAGAACTAAAAAGCCAATAGGAGTAATTAATTCATGTAATCCACACAAAAGATGTAGAGACGACAGAAATAAACACTGAAGCAGAATACCGATTCAGACACACGTTCATTCAGGTAACTCAGCGGTACTGAAGCAACGAACGCTGGAGAGAGTGACTGCCTCCAGACAGCGACGAGACCAAAATGGTTACAGAGGGTTTTTCAAGCATATACATGTGATTGATTTTAGTAACTTTAATGTACTTTACTTTGTACTTTATTGTGCACTGCGCACTGTAGGCTACGCTTTAAAATTAATCGGATCAGAACTCCAGATCCGCAGATACTCAATATTAAATTACTCGGATCGGATCCGGGGGTTAAAAAACCTTGATCGGGACATCCCTAGTATAAAGACCTAATTTTAGCATCATTGAGAAACGGTCAATCAGTCAGGGGAGCAGTGCGAGATTGCAACAACAAGAGACTTCTGAGTGGGTGTCTCACATAATTTTTAGCTCTGGGGATGACAATGTCAGTTAGTCTGGTGGTCCAACACTTTGTATTGTTACGGAAGCATTACTGTAGTCTTGTTTGTTTGATTAACTAGACTGAGAGGTGTGTTTAGAGTTAATTCAGTTTCCACAGTGAGAGTGGAAGTACAATTTCTTTGCTGAAGAAAAGTGAAGTTACAACAAGATTTAGGTTTAAAAACATTTTATGTCTGTGTGTGTGTCTGTTTGTATTGTAGAATTGAAGGGGGTGCTAATTCTATCTCAGGTCTCTGGTAAAAAAAGACTATTAGGTAGTCAGACAGTTCATACAGGTGTATAATGTGTTTTAACTATATGTGACAAGTTATCGTTAAATTTGAAATTAACACTTGCTTCTGTCCAATGTGTTTTTCCAGAGAACATTTGATTCGCCTTCAGCACGAGAACAAGATGCTGAAGCTGGCCCAGGAGGGATCGGACAATGAGAAGATTGCACTGTTGCAGAGTCTACTGGAGGATGCCAGCAGAAGGAAAAATGAACTGGAAACAGAAAACAGGTCAGCTAAAAGCACAGAAACAACTTGCATTTGCCTAGGAAAAACACTATATCATTCTGTCTCATCGTATTGAAATTTAATGAAAAAAGAGAATATTTTACAACTTAGAATGTTGTTCATGTAGTTTTAAAAGTCACATGTTCAGTGTCGGCAGATTTTGTTTCCTTGTGTTGGAATCTGGATCAATCTCCCATTTATCTACCCACAAAGATTTTCTTTGTCTATACTGGAATTTGAGTCAATGACCTTCTTAGCCAGAAGCCTGCCTCTCTGATGTTTTATCTACCATTAAAACTATCTTGTAAAACTGGTCTTTTGACCCTTTTTTATCTAGGTTAATCAATCAGCGCCTGATGGAGGAACAGAGTCAGGTAGAGGAGCTACAAAAGAATCTTCAAGAACAGGGTTCCAAAGCAGATGATGTAAGTAATTAAATGTTATCTCTGTATTGCGCAAGTTTAACTCTGATATCATTTAAATGTTGGCAATAACCACAGAAAGTCAAATTCCCATCATACCACACTTGGTGAATAAAGACTGCAGTACATCGGTTCTCCTGAAGGCTTTGGTATTTTATTTTTAAAGGAACTAAAAAGGCAAAATTGTGTATGTACACCCAACGCATAGAAAACAGTTGAAATCACTTTTGATTTTGTTTTGTTGTAACTAACTCCTCCTAACAATAACCATTTCTAACACTCATCGTATGCATGATCTCAGTTTTCTGTCTGTGTGCTTTTACATTATTTGTATGTTGTAGCTGTGGATAGCCTTGCATGCATCAGTGAATTAATAAATGACAGCACATGATAAAATCAGTAAAACAAATTGGATTTAGTTCGTATTAACATGTTTAACACAAATGGGGACATTTTCATTGTATTTTTCTTTGTTCATTCTCTCCTTCAAACTAGTTCCTAGTAGGGGGCAACTGGTATTTAGGAAGAGGAGAGTTGGAGCATCTCCTGAGAAGGTTGATGTGTGAGAGAGAGCTCGCATGCATGTTTAACGTCATCTTTCATGAGCTGCTTTGCTTCTTTACTAAATAATTAACCTTAATTTAAAATACTAAACTTTTTTAAAAAAATTTTTTATGGGGTTTCTGGTTCTATTCCTGCCAGCCTGTGTAGATTTAGCATCCCATCACCAGTGTTACCATTCATGCTTTAACCATCTGTCTTCACTCAAGATGAACATAACATATTATTATTTTTTTGTCTTTTGAGTGTTTCATCGACACGGCACAGTGCACAATAAGAATGGAAATATGTATTTCCTTAATGCAGTGCCACAGTTACGGAGAAACTGCCTTTTCTTTAAGTAGAATTATCAGTACAGTTTGAGTCATTTTGGTGAGGAGATGGTGTGTCAAATGTCAGGTGCAAAAATGGGAACGACTCCATAACAGGTTATTGCATGGATGCAAAACCATCCACATTTGGCGGGTCTGTGATTCTTGCCAATCAGTAAAATACTTTGCATTTTCTTTTCGAATAATGCTCCCACTGTCAGACTATAGTAAGTATAACTTTGTGATTCCTGACAAGTTTCCTCTTTTAGACTTTTTCCAGGTGTTTGCTTAGTTTTTTGATTTCCGGAAACAAATGTGTAACAACTCAGAATGTAATAAATATACACATTGTAAAAACTTTGCCTAATGTATTGCTAATATATAATACGGTACATAAGGACTGCAAAATGCAACAGTTGCTTTGCAAATAGAATGACATTTTGACCACAATCATTGCATTTTAACCTCGTATTGAGCATTTCATTAACTTTAATGTGTTTGTTACACTGAGTTGCTACACACAAGTTACACAAGATACTTTTTTCATAGCTGTTGAGATTCTACCTTTTCCTGTTAGAAATAGAAAGGCATCTTTAATCATCCCGTAGGCATCCTCTTGTAGATTTTTCCTCTGTTTCCTCTTTCCTTGGTGCTGTTTGACTTCTAGTTCAGAGATACTCTTGCAGATTTCTGCCCTCACATGATTTTGCTGCACACCACCTTAGATACCACATGGGTAGAAAGTGGTACTGCCTGAGGAAACAGGATCAAAAACATAAAAGCTTCAAAAAAATTAATTTGAGCACTCCTCTAATTGTAACCATTCTTTGTGATTATCCAGGCTGGGAAATCACGTAATTACCCAGACAAAGATTAGCTTGAAGTCTAGATTACTTCTCTATTGGTCTTTTTTCCAAACAGTATCTGTTCTACACTCCCCTCTGTTGGATAAAAGGGGGAAAGTGCATAATTTTGTTATAGTGGTGCCTTTTATTTAGCACTGATGGATCATTTTCAATTAGGCAGACACTGTGCTGAAAACCTTTTTGGTATATTTTTTGTAATGTGTGACACACAAATGTGGCTGCAGGTTTAAAGGCGAAGAAGACTGATGTGAAGCTAGCAGGAACTATACTGAAAGATTTGAAATTCTATCTGTAGGTGGTATAAGTTGTAACAATATTATGTGTCATAAACCATATCTCTCTCTTTTTTCAGTCTTCCATTCTGAAGAAGAAGTATGAGGAGCACATGTAAGTTATTGTCGTACAGACCCAGAAATGTTGCTAGTTATGCCAGGTCAGGATAGCATAGAACTTTATTTTAGGGATGCACCAGTTTGGAAGTTCTTTGGCGATAACTGTGTTTAAATTAACACTTTGGCCAATAGCCAGTGTTTTTTGTTGTTATTTATTTACCCTTTTGTGCCAAGGAAAATTTACAAAGACTGGCATATCTGCCTTGTTCCAGCTCAGTCTATTTCACTTCTCATCCAAGATGTGAGACACAGAGCTGATCAGCCTCTCACTGTCCGTGCGTGTGCATAGAGCCCGTAGATATTTGTCTGCAGTTTGTGCCAGTACTGGCAAACTGAGGCGATTATTTCTCCAGTATCCAAGTTGGAAACAACCAACACCCCATTTAGCCAGCACAAAGTTGATGTAACACAACAGATAAACATTGGCCACTGATATTGGCGATTACCATTTTATTTGCCAATAGGACATTGTCAATCAACAGGGCAAACATCGACCAATATATCAGTGCATCCCTACTTCATTTTAAAAGATTTAAACCATCCTCTTTATTCAGTCCTGGAATGCTTAACATGAAATATCAGACAGAACTAGGCCTAAAACTAGTTTATTTTGCTTTGTATTCTTCACCAGGGAGAAATTACGAGAGTTGAACAATGAGTTACTGAAGAAAAACTCCTTCATTGACGAAATGGAGCCTAAATACAACGCCAGCTGTGAGTTTGGACCTCTGTTGAATTCTGAATGTGTCAAGTACAGTCGAAACCCACTGACCTCCATCCTCTCTTACCATCTGTTCTTACGATTTTTAACAAAAAAGTGTTATGTTGTTCCCTTTCAGCCCAAAGAGTGGATGAGCTAGAGGAGGCCTTGAAGAAGAAAGATGAAGACATGAAACAGATGGAGGAGAGATATAAGAAATACCTGGAAAAAGCCAAGAGCGTAAGTACATCTTTATTACGGACAACAAGTGACCTATCTTTCTGTAACCAGTGATCCTTGCTGTAGATTTGGGTCAACAAAAACATGTATGTGTCCTCTTCAGGTGATCCGTACTTTGGATCCCAAGCAGAACCAGGGTTCAGGTCCAGAGGTCCAGGCCCTGAAGAACCAGCTGCAGGAGAAGGAGAGGATGTTGCACTCATTGGAGGTAATACAGGTTTAGAAGAATTAGATGGTCTGGCAAGGAATGGAGTGGACTTGGCAGCATATTGATCAAGTTTATCTCTCACCTTCTAATTAACCACCACAGAAGGAAGTCTGTCGAAGTGTGTGAAAACACATTGGAAATATTTGGACAACAGCGTATTGTGGCCTAAAGAATACTTTCATTGCTTAATTTGTTGTGGCTTTATGTTTTCTTTGTACAGAAAGAGATGGACAAGACAAAATGCCAGAGAGATTACGAGGAGAAACTGATTGTATCAGCCTGGTACAATATGGTAAGAAGGACCTACACAACTAAAACAGTCACCACTTTTGACTAGTGTGCTTTTTAAATTGTGGCACATCATATGTGCAGCTGGGATTTAAGGGCAAGAAGAGAAGAACATAACATAATACACAAAAAATCCTTAACATAGATAAGGAGAATAATTGTCAGATTGAAAATAATTGCAGCCCTATAGTAACACATAGCTGACCCAAAGTCAGTTATTAGCAGTTGGCAGCAATAACATATTAAAACAGTAACCTAAAGCACTAAAAAACATAGACTGACCTTAACATTATCTTAAAATAATTGTCCAGAAAACAATTGTGTTTGGTTCATCCTTTTTCATTTGGCACATTACATTCTACATGTGAATTTTAGTACATGTTTTTGTAATGCAGGCCCAGTATTGCATATTAAGAAGTCCTGATCATGCACAAGTCATGCATAAAGGCATTTTAACCACTAGAGGGCAGCAATTCCCTTTCTATCAACTTAACAACCAACGATTGCTTGTTAACACATTTGATCAATAGCTGGTGTTAATACTTATGAGTTGTTAAATCAACACTAATATTGTGTTTGAGCTCATTTGCTTTTTCATGCATCAAGATTCGCAAACTAACGGTAGCTGATTGTCTGGTGACTCTCTTACTCCCTGTGTTAGAACAGTTTACTGCTGCTGCACAAGTTCATATTGTGATATTGAGTCTGTCTTATTATACTGACAGTGACCATTAGGAACAATAATAAGACTTCCTCTGTATCTGTCTCCAGGGTATGTCTCTGCAGAAGAAGGCGGCTGAAGACAGACTTGCCAACTCCGGTTCTGGTCAGTCCTTCCTGGCCCGGCAGAGACAAGCCACCAGCACACGCCGCTCCTATCCAGGCCACGTCCAGCCAGCTACCGCAAGGTAGATGGCAGCAAGGCAGAAAAATACTGCGGCAAACTACCTTACAAATCCCCTGAACCTACATAACAGTAGATGTGCCTTTTTTGAAGGCACACTATTTTCATTCATTTCTAATGGACGTTCTTGTTTCCCTTCATTCTGCCTATTGATTTCCTTTTTTTCTTCTTGATCAGATCCATGAGGTAGAGATGCCAGCCAAGGCTGCCCAAATCTTGCACCACTTTTTTTCCCCCTGACTAAGCATATGTTACCCTGACTTTCTGTGATGCCAGGCTTCTACTGTTTTTCACACCCCAGTATATTTGATAGGGTCTGACTAATCACTCCAAACACCCTCTCTTCCTCCCTCTCAACCACTGACCTTCCTCAACCTGTACTCTGTGGTAAACAGTTGCCAGGCAGGTAATCTGGACATCAAGGCAGAGAAGAAGCGCATCCTCTACTGAATTTACTGTCATTTATGTTCAGAGGAACTGCTCTGCCTGTTCATGCAGTATTTATGCACATCTCTACCTGTGATAGCATTTGAGGTTCATCTTGTTTGTTGACTGGCGTTGTCGGATTTTCTGTTCTGCAGTATCTGTTTTAACTCTTATGATGTAGCTTTAAGCAGGTAACAGCATTTTTTTCATTTACATGTGTTAATGTTTGAATTGTATTTTTCAAATGGAGATCAGTTGCTCTTCTTCCATGTCATTATGTTTTGATCTGTGAATTTAGATCAATATTGAGTAACAAATACATGGAGGCATAGGAAGATGTATAGTTGTCACGTGTAAAATGTTCCATTTGCTTGCTAAATGATCTGAATGATCTCTAATAGGACTACATGGTTTAGAAAAAAACAGGTAACTTCTCAGCTGGTAACAGTGCAGCAATAATTGTGAAGGGTAATTTCCTCTGAGGAAAAAAAAAAGGCAAAGTAACTGCTTCAGCTGTTGAAGTTTTATCAGGTGTTACGGTCCACATCTAGATAGATTGCGGCAAAGATCAATGTGCTCCATAATTGTGTAGACAGGCTTTCATGATCTGACTTAAAGAGCCACCGTGGAACAAACCGGGAGTGGCACCAGCTCACAGCGTTTTAGCTTTTACCAGCATTTACCAGGTTGTCTCAGACAACACTTTATGTGCCATAGGGTTGAATTTAAATGTAAGTACTACAGTACAGTTGGGCAATATTATCCCTGCAACACTGCAAGTTTCCCTCCCAGCACCACATAAAAAAATACACTGAAGGAAAATCTAGTCGTGCAATGGTTGCTGAGTTTGGCACCCTGGGACTGTTTGGTTGAAAAAGGGATTTGGTTTGTAGATTGCCCCTTAATGCCAATGAGGTATTTATTCAATGTAGCTCACTGAAGCAGACTTACTTTCCATATCATTTTAGAATCAGTTGATTGTTATAGTGAAAATGTTTTCCAAGGTATGTTAAAAGGTGTTTTTTGAAAAGCACAGTGTTTCCAATGTCACTTTAAGGGGGAACCTTGAATAAGTATGCTTGTTGCAGCTGTTCCTATCCTCTCTTTAACCCATTTTCTTCTTCCATTCTGTTTACATTGTCATTGTTTTTAAGGCACATCATGAATGAACTTCTATTACATGATGCACCTTTAGAATTAACCCTGTTCATTTGCTATGTATGTGTTGAGATCGAGGCCAGAAATTCAGGCTAACAGGCCCCGCCGTCTCACCGTTATCTCTCTTTCTCCTCCCTCAACAGCAATGTCACTGCATGACTGGCACACCACTGAACTGGCCAAGCCTGGCGTGGCTCAGCCCAGCCTGGCCTGTCTTTGGCCTACGCTCAGTTAGGCCGAGGCACACGCTGCATGAACTGCCCGCCTACTGTTTGCATGACTTTGCATTGACTCGAGCCTGCGAATAACCAGCACAGCAGCATGAGCACTAACAACCCTCTGCAGCGTCATGCATTGTAACCTCCAGACAAGCCTGATGAGGGATGGGGTCGGAAGAGCAAACCCTCACCCTCCTTCACCCAATTAAACTCCTTTCCACCCTTCCAGCTCCTTTCTCTTCATATTCTCCTGCGCTTTGTTATCCTCGCCATACTCCCGTTCTCCTGTCCTCCACCCCCCCACCTTTCACTCTCCATGGTCATGCCTGCTTGTCTTTCCACACTGCATTAAATCTGTTACAGTTCAACCTGTGTTACAAACATCTAGGGCAGGGGCAGCATATCGCAGCACATACTGTCAATCACACAGTTGAACTGTTAGTAGGCCCTTTCTGTAGTACTTGTGTGTAACTTGACATTGGCTGGCTGCTTCAGGATACCTCAATGACATATTTTCACATATCTATTTTTATTTACATGGTTGGCGGAGAGTCGGCGTTGGTGTGAGAGAAATATTTGAGAGGTGTAGCCTGCGAATAAGTCTGCAAAAAAAAAAAAAAAAAAGGAGTCTGCTCCCCCATAAACTTCAAAATGTGTATCTCCTGTTGAAGTTCTGCCCTGCCTCTCCTCAACATGTTGCAAGATGGCACCTTAGATGTGGTTTTACCTCAAGTATTAGTGAGTACAACAAGTTATGGACTAAAGGAGAGCTTACGGGGCATTTGGTCAGTTGAACAATTTGCAGTAGGAGCATAGGATGGCAAAATAACTGTTTAAATTAATTGAATTAATAACATTGTTACAGATATGCTTTTATACAGGATAAAAGCCCCCATTAAGCCTACTTGCAAATTTCCATGTCAGTGTAGTGGCTATTTCTTGATTAAAAGCACATTTTATACACATTTCTATAGTGTGTTGGATGGCTTATAATGTAGTTGACTACTATGTTGTCTATGTTGTTTTGTCTATAGCAAGTAGTAGTGTGGTCTAATTGATCCAAAAGCAATTTGATATTATTATTGCCTTAAAAAGTATTCAAGAAACACGGATATGAAAGTGTACATTAGCTCATGTAGGCAAATGTACAGTACATTCATTTGATTGGATTGAAAGGGCTAATTATTTTTAAAAAGCAGAAAGGGAAACTATTCCAGCAATCTCTAAAGATCCTGCTGATCGCAGATCAAACCCTTATTCAGTACATTTCAAAAGCATTCACACCAGGCAGTAATCCTGCATTTGTTTGTGCTTTATTAGTTCAACCTAACAGAACAGTTATGTGAAAGATTTTTATTTATTTGTTTTACATTAATTGTTCATGGATGAAGTTGACTGCTTAAACATGCAGTGTTAACCACAATACACGAGTTATACAAGAGCCAAATTATAGTATCAGTAATAGGGAAACTTAACTTGGTGTTGCTATAAGTCATACTATACATTTTATGTAGCTTTTAAAATAAATTTCTTATTTAAATTTTATTTCCTGAGCTTATTAAAATCATGTTAACTAAAAGGGTGAGAAAGACTGAAAAGAAACACCTGGACCTAAGGATATATGCATATTATAGGTATAAGTGCATACATTTTTCGAGTGAGAGAGATGGTTGAATCCTCCAATTTAGTGCCTTTGTGTAAAATGTGATATTTAAAAAAAAAAAAAACAAGACTGGCTAGGAGTTAATACAGCAAGATGTGCTGCCTTTTAAAACCAGTTTTATGGTGTTATTTAGAAAGAGAAAAATTTTGATGATCTCATCCAAATGATACATTTCTGGACAAAAAAAACTTATTTTTAAGATTAAGTGGGCTTAATGAGGGCTTTCTTCTCTGTTTTTAACCTATTTTACTCATAAATGTTATAATGTGTAACCTTGGTTTAATTCATGCCGTGCATTTTTATCTTAATGGCTTATTTATTGTTTTGCTGCTTGTACAGCAGTGTTGTTACATTTTTTTTTATATTAGTATTATTATATCACCACTTATACTGTTACAATAGATGTGAAGTTTCCATATGACATCAAAATACTGTTAGATACTTGTCTTATGCAACAAAAGGAGGAGATGGGTTGAAATAGTGTAGTGTTTGCTCTGTTCATCTAATGAAAATGACACAAAGGTTATTATATCGACTGTTTCCGCTCAGATCAGTGTAAAATGGAGAAAACACAGCAAGGTTACATTTACATTTAGTATTTTCAGGAAGAGGAGTTTCTTAGAAAATGATTGTGCTAAGAAACTTGTCATGTTTGAAAATGAATGTTTTCTCATTTACGAAAAAGCACACTCTACACTTTTAATTCACTGAATTGTTGGTGAAGTTACTGTAACCTGAACAATTGAACACATTTTCCAGTGTTTTAGTGACAGCAACAAAGACCAGGGTCCTGTTGTGGGGAAAAAGGCTGTTGGATGTGCATGTGTAATTGCATTAAAATGAAGTTGGCTCAGATTTTTGGTTAACTTATCCTGATTAGATGAGGACAAATCAAATTCTTCATTTGGACATCAAATACATTTTCAGAACCGAGCTGTGAAATAACTTTTTCAGCAAAAAAAAAATAATTCAGTTGCAAAGTAAAGAAGGGTTGGTTTTGTCCAGTTCTCTACTTGTTTCTGTCCGTTTTATCACACAGAACTCTTTTAGCCGTCCATCCCCATTTGTCATTGGTTTGGTAAGAAATCTGTATATAATGGATTACATCCACATTGTGGTTGTTCTGTTTCAATTTATATCAGGGATGTTGGGGAAACTTTTTTTTTCTTTTGTTATTTAATATCTCCGTAACAGAAAACATGTTGTCCCCTTTTATCCCCCATGAAGTGAGCCACTGTATTTTGTTGCTTATATGTGTCTGTTTTTATACCCAATATTACTGGCAAATAATGAGATACTGGGGGGAGGATTATCAGAATGGAGTTTCAGACCATATTAATGCTAATTTCTTCCCAGTAAAGAAGGAAAGGTGACATCCTCATGTACTGTTCAAGCTATAACCCAAATTTTTCCTTAATTTTCCTGTTTGAGAACAATTTACTGAATGAGTACTGCAGTAATCTTCACAAAAACTGTCATAATGTGGTGTATTATTTATATGCCTAAACTAAAACGAATACCCAGTGTGTTCCCTAGTGTTACTTGACTGCTGATTGCTCTGTGGGCCAGTCAAAAGTGTATTAAAGAGGTGAAAAGAACATGCGGCTGTTAACAGGTCAGAATCTATCACTACGCGTGCAGTGTTTGCTGTATTTTTTTACTCATTGGCAAACTTTTCTTTACATATTGAAGTAGCAAATAACCTTCCATTTGCCAAGTTTTATATTGCTTGTATACAAACACACTATGTACATACTTAATGTAACAGTGTTAGAGGAGGTGTCTGGCCATTTGAGGATGAGAAAATAAAACTCATGTCTAGTTAGATGGATTTCATATAGCATCTGTCCGATGAGGACGTATTGATGAAAATGTGCTTCCTACACTGCAAAACTTGGAAATGACATTGTAAATAAAGCTTGTATAAAACAGGCTGCTTGTTCAGATTTTTCCATAACATGATGACCGACATAAACAAATACAATTTTTCTCATGCTATCAGATACCACACTCAGTTGTTTGGGGTCAGCAGTAGATTCCCCAGCTGACATGTATGCAACTGAGCAGTTTAAAATTAGATTTTAAACAAGTTATAAGAAGAGCACACATACCCTAAATAAACATGACCATAACACTTGAGCAGGAGAGGACAAAAACCTTTGGGGGCAGGTAAAGGTCGTCCCCAGAAGTATGTCATACACACAGTCCTTTGGATGAAAAGTTTTTCAGCTGTTTCTTTTCACCTTGCCAAGCAGTGTTTCTTTGCTTTCATTAAATCATTAACTAGATGAGACAGTATCCAAGTTGAGCATGGAGGGCAGATGATGGAAGAGGGGATTCCAATTGTGTCCTGAAAACACCCTACAGCATATAATTCGTCTTAACATAATGCAGAATTAGACTTGGCCTTTAAGTTACAGTTTACAGTAAACTGGGCTTAACAAGGAAACAGTAATAGCTCGCCTGAGCCACCATCCTGTCTTTGGTCGTAGTGTTATAACCACCCTCGCTAATGCGGCACAACTCCTGTCCTATATTAGCTACGGATCATGGTGAATTCTGCTTTTCAGTATCTGCCTCTCTTATGAACTGAGTCTGTGCACACACAAACAGCCCTGCCTGCCTGGGAAATGAAGCCTGGATGCCCCTCAAGGCTGCAGACTCAGGAACTTCCCCATATCAGTGTCCCATCCTTCATTCCTAAGAGCTTCTTTTTCCTTCTCTCCCTTACCTCAGCCTCTGGGTGCTTCCTCCTGACATTTCACAGCAGAGGTCCAAAGTCAATAAAAATACACTTCTCTGGTTTCTCATTCACTTCCATTGAGATAGGCCTGAGTGAAAGGAGGGGAGATGATAGTTACAGTCCAGTGTGTTGATATCACTTTCCAAACCTGGCTCAAGTCATATGTTGATGGTTTATTTTATGCCAGTTATAGGTACCAAAAACAAGCAGTAAACAATAAGTTGTGATTGATTTTTTGCACTGTTTACTTTAACATGGCATGGTAAAAGGTGATGTAAAGATATAGTACAGTAGTGTCCTGGCAAAATAATCATATATTTAGTTATTATTTAGTATATTGATCTATTAAAGTTGGTCAATCTTGCAACATCAGAATAAAAGTTTGAAAATTAAAAGGGGTCACATTATTGCAGATTCCACTTGTGGTATTGATACAGTCAAAGACTGCTGATGGGCCCTCTGAACATAGGTGCAATATAGCTCTATAGATGGCTTTTGTTAGACTAAAATATCTCAACAAGTACTGGATGGATTGCTATGAAATTTGATCCACTTTAGTTCATACATACTGCAAAACTAATGACATTCCCATCAGCCTCAGCTGTGTTCGGTGCTAACAAACAGATGTTGGAACGCGTACGTACAAAACTAATACGGTGAACATGGAGAAACATTATACCTACATCAGCATGTTAGCATTGTCATTGTGAGCATGTTAGTGTTCTGGCATTAGCGTTTTGCTCAAAGCACTGCTGTGAATGTGTAGTTGCTGGGATTATGTGTAGGAATACAGAAGTTCTATGGTTAGGGCTAAAGAAAAAGGCTGTCTACAAGGTAAAGTGGTAAAAAAAATATTCTTAATATAGTGTACACTCAGACTGATATAGATTTGTGGTGTGGCTAAAATGCGTTTTTCTTCAGCCCCTGTCCACAGCAGTGCATTGCTCTGCTTCTGTACCGGGACTCCTGTCTGCTTTTCAAACTGTGGACGCACTGACTAATGTCTATAACGGTAACACACTCACTATAAGTACTTCATACAACCCCACTTAAAAAAAACCCCAAACCATCCCTTCAAGTGTCTAACCTTAAAATGACAAACTCTCACCTCACATTTTGACTGGTCATTTTCTGTGTGTCTTTGTTCCAGTTTTGTCATTGGGATATGGACTACAAAGAAGGGAGAAAAGCTGAGGTCAGGGAAAGTCAATAAGAAAATAAAATAACACCACAGGCAGACAGTGAGTCATGGACATTATGAATAGGGTGGACAACCAGCAGCACTGACACGATTCCACTCCTGTGGTCCAGACAAAAGCCCAAAATTATTTTACTGTCGGAAACATGACCACACGTTGTCTGATTCATTATCATTCCATTATGGTTACATTCTCTAAAATACAACAGACAGAAAGATTAATTCATCATCAAATTAAATCAAATTAATATAAATTTAGATTTTTGAAATGCACTGTAAGAATTGTACAGCATCAGAAATTATGAGAATTTCTCTTTTATTCTTTTGAAACTCTCTCTTTTGACACCATCAATACTTGGAAACTATGTCAGCTTAATGGCAAACCTGTAGGTGCAAATGTTGTACAGTACACCCATTTTACAGAACATTGTTGCTTTTACCGGCAAATGCTGTCAGAGTAGGAACTTTGTTTTTAATATCCAAAGAAAATGTTGTCATTGATCCCAGATGTTTTTTTTTTTCTTTCTTTCTTTTTAAACTCTCTGTCTCTCAATATTGAAGTAATTACTGAATCATTCCACCGGGAGGAAAATCAGAGCAAACGAGAGCTGTCATTTCCCTAATGAAAGAGCCTGTTATTATTTCTTCATAACTTAGCGTTTGGCTGACAATATGGGCCTTATGACACTTTCAATTTACATTTCAATCAGACTGGTGTGAGTGTGTGTGTGTGTGTATGTATGGATGGCTGGGTGGGGGGTGTGGGGGGTGGCAGAGGCCTGATAACACAAGGCTCTCATTGATGCACACACTCTAACACACACACAATCAGACACACACAGATCAGGTGGTGTTTCCAGCACTTTGGATTGGAGCCCGGCGGATACCTGACCTGAGATTTCAACACGCACACAGCATGGACACACACACAAGAGCACTTTCACCGTCAGCCAACGCACAGGCAACCTCTCCGCTTTTACATGATCATTTTTGGCACGACTTCAATGAGACGCAGGTGAGAAGTGCACTGGGGGAAACTGAAACCTCATGCTCAGCCTGTTGACACAGTCAGAGAGTAAAAGGGAGGCAGAGTGGCTCTTTAGATTGTATTGACCCTTGAACTCGAGGGGAGCAGTTTGACTGACAGCTACCGTGTACAACAGGCCACGGGTTTATTAAAGGTCAACATGCAGGCCAAGCAGGGATGTGACGTTTCTGAGACACAAATCTCTTTCATTTGACATGAAGATTTATTTATTTATGCCAGCCTCCTCTCGGGCTTAGTTATGATGGTAAAAATGACTCTCGACGAGCGTTAGGTTATCGAGGTCGACATAAGATCAGATCTGATTTTTGTTGCGATATGAACCCTGACATTTTCAGGCAGATTCTCAGGCTTGCCGCCACTTTAAATCCCTCTCATATTCTCATATGTTGATCATCGTAATAAGCAACCTAAAATTCATCACATTAATCAGAAGAGTATTTTCTTTTTGCACAATTTCCGGGTTCATGTGTAGCCTCGCATCCAAGCCTTTTCAAACCAGATTTTCTTGTTCCCCTTTGACCCTTCTGTCCTCTAGAAAAACAGATACTTATTACTGTACTTCTATAAATATTATTTAATTTTAACTTAGATTTTTAGGCTGATGTCACATACATATGTACATATAAGTTTTTGTCTCATTCTGGTTGAAGGATATTTCAAAAAGTTCTGAATGGATTTTGGACAGGCTGGTTATGGACAAAGTGATGAGTGTTTTCAATTCCCTTTGGTATGATGGCAAAAAAACTTCTGAATGGATTCATGAAACAAAATCAAATGTCATGCACATAAGCAGACGGACACACTAGTACTACGTGGTTTTCACCACTGAAGCCCATGCATTTTTTACAGTTAGTAATACATTCCAATTGGTTGGACTTGCATTGGTATTTCTGCATGTGTGGGACATCGTAGGCTGAAGGCTACAGCAAAAACAGAGAAATTAGAAAATTGCCCAATCCTTCCACTTCCATTTTTTCATCGCACTGTCTCTCTGGGCACTCAGGTTTTCTATCATGAGCAGATGGTCATGAAGAGCATTAGGAAATGTGCATGATATTAAATATAAACTTGGAGACACCAATTAACACTTAACACTTTTAAGGGATATAAGTAGACTTTTACCTTTTCATGCATATATATCCAGATGATTAATCTGTATTTAACAAGCTTCATAAATAGAGTGCATGTGGGCGTTTAACTTACCACATGTACAGGTCATCAAGTTCAGGTGCAGCCGATAGTGTACATATTTCTCTCTCTCTCTCTCTCTCTCTCTCTCTCTCTCTCTCTCTCTCTCTCTCTCTCTCTCTCTCTCTCTCTTTCAAACAAACACGCACACACATTTACAGAGGCCGACAGAGAGCTGAAAACCACCGGACCAGAGGGATGAACGTCTGAGTGATCTCCACGCTGTTTGAGCCAGAGTGAGTCACACTAGGCGCCCTGACCACTAAATCAAAGAGCTGTTTGAACAGCTGCATTCCTTCACACCCCTTCATCCCCTCTCTCTCTCTCTCTTGCTGTGCAGTAATACTAATTCTGGTTTTGCTGCTCACCCCCCTCCCCCTCCCCAGCCAGTAGTGTTCTGGTGTGAAGGAGATCAAGCCTAATGGAAAAAGAGTGCAGAAGTGAGGTAAGTCATCCTTCTGACTGTGGACAGGTGTCTATTAGAGGTTGGGCGTAAAGATGAGACAGAGGAACTCTGTGAGGCTTCACAGCAGCGACTGCAGCTGATTTATGGACTCATGACAGCCCGAGTGAGTCATTGTGTTAGCTTTCATTTCTTTTCACACATACGGTTACCCCACTCCAGAGTCGTATCATGTTGGGCCATTAGTTTTCAGTGACAGGTACGATTATTGCAATTGTATGGAAAAAGCCAGCACTGAAACATTTAATCCTAACTTTTCCAAACTTTAGTTGGTTCTCTGGATTTGAACAGAGTCAGCAGACAGAAGTGTGATAGCTGATGACTGAGCTGATAGCAATAGATTAATAGTTAACACATTCTCCATACAAGCATAGTAATGTTATGATCAAGAACTTATAGGAATACTTAGATTTTTGGAAATAGATATAGATAATTACGCTCTTTTACCAGGAGTTAGATGAGAGGATATTAATTTAATCTCTGTTCATGCAATAACCTAGCTGCCCCAGGAAGCGTTTAGCCTAGCTTAGCACAAACACAAGTTTATGTCTCTCATGCATTATCTCCATTTTGTAGGTATTTCCAGCATTCTCAAAGACGCTTCTAACCATCTGGAAAAACAATATTCAGACTTCTGCATTTTAAAAATGATTCTTAATCCCATGTCCTACAGTTATGACTCAAATTCCTAATCCAAACAAATACAGCATTCAGAAATGACATACAAGTATTTGTATATATCTCTAATATGAAGCCATCAGTGTGAATGCAATATAAAATAATGAAAAGTAAAGTAAAATAGATAAATGAAACTGCTAATAAAAAATATCTTTGTCAAGCATAGCTCCATCAACAGTACCTAAGAACTGCAAAGTAATGAGCAATTAAGCTTTCATCCATTTTCCAACATGCAGAAATGTGCATGCTTTATATGTGTAGCCCATATATACTCTATTTAAGACTAGTGCTAAAACCCTGACCCTGATCTGTCCTGATGAAGAAAGATTTATGCATATGTCATGGTTAATGACGACAATATAGCCAAAGGTCCTTTTCCACAACTTCTCTGTTTCCTTTGGCAAATTTCTATGGTATCCTTGAAAGAAATGAAGCATGACAGTGTCTCCATTAAAAAGTCATCTTTTAACTCAACTTTTATTGTGAGATTAATAACTACTGTAACTATGGCCTTGAAGGGGCTGAAAAAGTGGCAGATGAGTTTCCATTTCCTTTTCAAAGAAAGATCGAAATGCTTCCATGGCTGTCATACAGCTGGGATTACAAAGCATGTAAAAAGAGCCAAGAAAACTTCGAAAAACCTGTAATTAATACGCTACAATTCTGACATGGTCCTAAATGAATATCTGCAGCTTTTATCCCTAAAGGTTTTTTTTTTTTTTTAGGGAAAATTCAAATATAGCTCATTGTCTGGTCATTTTTAACAATCCTGAAAAAAAAAAAAAAACATCTATAGAGTCTTCTACAATAATCCAGAAGAGATAAATGCATGATGAGTTCCTTTAACTACCACCCTTCATTTTCAGTTCACTTCTGTGACCATTGTATTAGTGCAGTGGACTTCTACTTCTGGTTCTATTTTTTTTGGTAAGTGCGAAGAAATGTTGGCTTTGAGCACTTTGAAGTCTCTGGCAGTGACAGATAACTGACACATCAATTTAAGCACATCATCATGAAAATTAATGATCTGAACACACATGCACACTGCACATCAGAGACAGAGAGACAAAGAGTGAAAGAGTCTCATTGGAAGGGGCTGGAAGTTGAGGGTGGAGTTGGAATGATAATAGTAGGAAAGATAATTATTATTTTTCATTACCTAACACTGGCTGGGAGCAATAAACAACTCACAATCAACTTTTGACCTCAACTGGAGGCAGTCCCTGGAAAAAGCAACGGGATACATTTCACTTTTTAACTGGATTTTGTTTTCAGAGAATCAAATGAACAGAATTGAACACGTTTAATTGTTTTGGTCTGTTAGTGATTTGATGCAAAACATACCAATAAACCAAGAAATCCAACCCACACTGGAAGAGACTGTCAAGCTACACAGGTAGCTTTAATATCATGGCATGTGAAGTAAACTTCAACTCATTTCTATGTCATGTGATTAACTGCGAGACAATTGTATTGATGTTTACAACTTCATTTAACCTCCTGAGACCTTCAAAATTTAAAGTTTGGGTATTTTAATTTTAATTTGTTTATTCTTTATGGTATGCCCTTTGTAGTGGTCGTTTTTATTATTATTATATTTGCTCTCAGCCATTTTGCATCAGGACAGAATTGAAACAAATGCCAAAAAATACCTGAATAGAATTGAATAAAATTTTTTAAATGCAAAATTAAAACTTAGGCCTGGGCCCTGAAAATTGTTAGCTTAGCATTTAGCTTTCAGTCGTTAAACTTTTTAATAGCATGTTTTTTTTGTCAACAGCCATTACGATCATGTATTGGTACTCACATATACTTAAATGCTTCTGCTATTTCACATCTACATGTGCCCAAGCAAATTGAGTGTGCACCATGAGAAGAACACGTTTTGACAAAATAAAGATGAGTTTGTGAGAATTTAACTTCAATCCGATCATTGAGGAAGTGATATAGAGTAAATAACAGTTGCAATATTACAGTAGTTGGTTTTCCGGAATATCCCCTCATCTATCAACGTATATAACTTATTCATTGAGAGCAACCAAATGACTAACATCTTTGTCCTATATATATACATATATGTAAAAATCTCTGAAAAATATGTTTCCTAATAACGAGAGGAGGAACAGGAGATTGTTGGTGGGGGGTTGGTAATTAAGGACATAAGCTGGTGCTGGAGCAGACCTTCGGATCTAGTATGGTATGTGTGTCTGCCCACAGAGCCACCAGGACACCCTGGATTCCAGTAAATGCTTTTTACCATGAACACCATTTTTGCTTTGATGCTGTGACTAACGGCTCAGTCACACAACCACTTCCATCACAACTAACCGTGCAGTCATGCCTTTTCTGGTCTGTGTGTCATTTAGTGTTAATGTCATGTTTGTTTTTGAAATCTGAAACCGTACATGTTTACAAGAACCGGATAATTGAATGTGTTGAGAATATCAAGAACAGCAATCATGCGGTTTGTATCCCTGCTAAAACTGGATGGTCAGTGTGTAAAACTTACTGAGTTATCTGTAAGGTTTGTTTGCTTGTGTTGGGAATTCACAGATCAGAATAGATGGGATTACTGTAAGCGGCACAAAAACATAATTTAGATCATTAGTGTAGTCAGGTCAGATTAGTATTCACGCAAAGAAAATCTCTGTGGTTTACATTTTCTCTTCTAAAACCAGAAAAGACAACATTACATAGCTCACATCTCTTTTCAACTGGGTCATATTTTTTCCTCCTTGCCTGACAAACACGGAAAACCTCTGGAAACAATTTTTTTTTTTTTTTAGTAACGGTCTCTGGTACGATGGTGCTGGTGTAAGGAAGTTAAAGGAAGTCAATGTATTGTTATGGAGCTTTTTGTGTTTTTTTTATAATAAAGGCCTATGTTTTAAAAGAAACATACAAGAAAGTTCAAAGTCCAGCGGGTAATCTGTATCAGTGAAGCAGTCAATATGATGTTGAAATTATAAGAAACTGTCATGTAGTCACTGTTTGGAGAGATGACAGATAGCGGCTCAGTCAGACAATATTTAACGTAGTAGCAGCTTCTGTATGTGCTGCCTGGTAGTAGCTAGAACAAGTCAGTCATCCTCTGTGTCTAGTCCAGCCTGGTTTCTGCAAGAGGGATAAAATCAACTTGGTCATTGTCTGACCTCTGTGTTGATAAAAGTGGGTCAAAGTTAATATGTCTGTTTTCGTTCAGGAATTCTTTCTTAATTGAGAATGAATGGCGTGGAGACACTGCACGTTCATGTTAGACAGATGCTTTTACTGAATATGGAGAAAATAATTGTGAGTAGATTCCGGGAGGCATTCTGCTTAAACCACCGAGGGAGAGATCTGCATCCATGGAAATTAAGGTAGGCAGAAGATGTCTGAAGACACAGATTCTCAGTCTGCTTTGGAATATATATAGACACACTCCTACAGTGCATTTTTTGAGGTTTTTTAAGTGTAGCTGGTACTTGTTATGACACAGGGAGCAGGGAACCATGAATACAGCCAGAAACACACATAAAGACTACACAAATATAGTTGTACAGTTTTTGATTGCTAGATATACTCTATAAATAATATGATGAAGACACAATTTGTTGCTTAAATTCCCAAATAACACTTAAACGTCTGACTTTGTTGAAAACATCAGTCATCTGTATGTTAAATATGAAGCAGGCAGGAAATGGCTAGCCTGATTTGTCCTAATTTTTTTTATTTTTTTGTTTTCTAATCACTCTACCTACTTGTTTAATCTGTACAAAAAACAGACTAGATGCTAGCCATGTCCTTCTCCCGCTTAGCTATAATAGCTGGCTGTATATTTACACTAGTTACTACTGAGGTTATTAATGAGCCAGCCTGCTGGACAAACAATAATAACATGAAAATAACAATACATTTAGCAATCACACGAACAAAACAAATAAAAACTTTTTTGTTATTATTAACCTACAGAAACAGTCATACTGTTGCATGCAGTGAGACACACAGTAGGCCTACACGCATACTCTCTCTCTCTCTCTCTCTCTCTCTCTCTCTCTCTCTCCACACACACACACACACACACACACACACAGGCATGCAAAATTGCAGATATTTGTGCCAGGTCTTTTCAATCAGGGTTTAATGTGCTGTGAAGAAAGTAGACCATGGTTGATATGACTGGCCATCTGTAAATGGACTGAGTCATATGAACTTAAACTGTTAGGCTACTTGAAGACTCGAACAGTTGTCCGTACATTCTCTTCTCTTCTCTTCTCTTCTCTTCTCTGACCATGTGTAAAACGAATGAATGAATGGATCCATCTGTCCAGCAGTCTGCTTACTGAAAGTCATGTCTTCTGTGGTCTGTTTTCAGGATTATAAAAACGTCAGGAATGCATAAACCGAGTGTGCATGCAGACATACAAATACTGTAAACAACAGATAGCAATCTGGAAGCACTTTCAGGCTTGCATACACATTCATAGGCTCTTTTTGTTTATTGCTTTATGTTTTTCCAATTTTGCTTCATGTTTAATCAGCCAGAAATCATGGTTGTGCTATAGGACTTACACTCATTGTACTGTTTAACCAAGAAATATTTGTCACTATTTTCTTGTTTAATTATTCCACTAAGATACAGACAGAGCAGTATGGGTCACCTGACAGGATCAAATACATCCACCTCCCAGTCTTTATAAAATGAAGCATATGTGGTCATTTCCATATTGTGAAATCCTTTTGAAGATTTCTCTAAAGAGGCAGAATCAGATGTTTGCTCGGGAACCCTCAGAAGACCCCAGTCCTGTTTGATGTTCACAAACAGAGCCACTTTAAAGTGGAAATGTACAGATGTGCTGTAGTATCAGTATTGACAGGGGTCACTGAAGTCCATACCGGCTTCAAACAGACTCTCTTTTGTGAAATGATAGAACTGCTTTAAAATGTTGCAGGTAAACAGTGTAAGTTTATAGATTTTGATTGTTTAATTTTTTTTAAATATGATTTTGAATGAGTTTTTTGTCATTGCACTGCATGTGAAGGGTCATGCAAATACAGAATTCAGTCATAATAAAACAGAAAAGCAACGAAATGAATGATAAAAAGATCAAAAGCCAGAACTTTTTATGATCACCTGTTTTATCTATTTGAAAAAGAATGTCCATAATTTGCATAATATGTCGTAAAAACCTATAGACTAACTAACCTATAGGTTAACTTTCACTTTAAAACCATCAATCAAACTAATCCTGATAATCTTCACAATAAAAGAAAAGAGTATCACCTGACAAAATGTGAAAGTTATAACTATATATATATATATATATATATATATATATAATATATAAAACTCTTTTCAACTCATGTGATGAGACCATTTGTTTTACTCATCATCCCCTCATTCTGGTGTGTCATATGGTTTTAAGTTATGGAAACACTTTGCTCCGCTATGTGACAGGACGAGGCGCTGGTTAGTGGATTCCTGACTATCCGAGGAGTCGTGACCCCCGGTGCTGATCCCACATTTAGTTTTAGTGAGGAGCTAAAATATGTGGTTTCAGTTTGCTGCCATGAATCACAATAAATGATGAAAAAGAGCGGCAGTTAACAGGCCTTAGCTCTGACACATGTGATGCTACACAGAGCGAGAGAGGATGATGTATGTTGGAGGGGTATTTATATAGATTAGCCTCTATGGGCTAAGTGGGTAGATAATGGAAATAAAGAACAGGTGTGTGTGTGTGTGTGTGTTTGTGTGTGTGTGTGTGTGTGTGTGGCTGCACACAAATGCCTCTCTACAAATCACACACTTCTCAACCTTTTCATACTTTAAAGAGGAAGCAGCTGCAGGTGTACTTTTTACCTTTTTACAGATGCATAACACAAACAACGATTAGCATACACACGTGCAAAGTCCTTCTTCATCCTATTCTGACAAAGCAATTACACAATTTTTGCCTTTTTCATTGTGATCTGGCAACAGCTTGGATACATTAGTGTGAGACAGAAATCAGTTCAACAAGCTCATGTAATGGATGATTGGCATTTTCTTTATTACTCTTCGTTACCTAAATGGAGGGACACACGCACTTTTTCAAAGACTGTCACTGTGCGCTCTTCGTGTCTGATTTTTGCACATTTCTCCTGAACTATCCATCAAAATAAGTGGAATCTGAATCTGAAACACAAATGCATGAAATGAGCCATGTATTTGTATCTAACTTTTAATCGTTTTTAAAATTTGTGAGTTTTAAAAGGCACTGATTTGTACAATTCATTTTAAAACTTGGAAAAAAAAACTTGGAGTGAGATCTTCTGTAAAGAGTAGTAAAAGAAAGACATAGTACTATATGTAACTTTAAAGTTTTCTATTGGCATATCACTGTAGGAATAGCCTTGTTAAAAAAAAGACACAATATTGCAAATGCTATTTTTTTAGCACTGTAAGCCGGTGTTCTGTAACTTTTTCCTAGAGTGTGAACAGATTAGAGGGTCAAGAAGTTGAAATGAATAAGACTAATAGGAAAGATTTTTTGAGAACAGTGTGCTGGAGAGACATCACTCAGTCTGTCTCTCTTTCAGCTTTGTCTTTTCTGTCTTTTGACTGAAAACTGGGTATAAACCAGCACATTTGGCAAACATCATTTTGTCCACTAGGAGGAGCTTTAACAGGCCTTGACAAAGAGGTTCCACTACCATCATGGGTCCGTATTACACACTTATGTGCAGAAACACTGTATAATCTGTCTATAAAGTATGCATAACCTATATGCATATATATTTGCATACAGTTTTAATGGTTATACATATAAAGCTGCATTATAATTTTAATTATTTTATTTTTTTTTTTTCAAATTCCAATTATTTTAAATTGGGTAAATGGTGTCCTTCCATTACAGACATAAGCAAAAATATTGATGACACAGTTTATTAATCGCTTGCCTATTATTTTCACAGAGTTTTCACAGTCTGTGAATTCATCTTGGACTGCTGAAGCCTGCAATACCTTTCAGCTTGACCTCGTCCTGATTCCTAAAAGCCTGCTCTTTGACTGCAAACAGCAAGCCCTCAAAAATATATATATAAAATAAAAGAAGCCCAGAAGTGGTTCTTCGCGTCAACAACCCGTCTCGTATTTACTCAGACGTCTGACAACATCAACATGTGTTCTGCCCCCTGCGAACCAGCAGCCTCACGGAGCGGAGCGTAGAGCCACAGCGCATAGATCGGCCTCCACATACAATTATATCTAAAGACTCCACCTGTAGCCTGCTTTGTGGGTCTATCACAGTGGCTTTTCATGGTAAGAAATCTTTATTAAAAAGTTCTTTTCAGAAAGCCTTTTGATAAAGAAGAGATCATCAGTGGGGGATGAGCTAATAGGTGTATTCATAGGCTGCTATTGAAATTATTATCATATATTTTGGACCTTCCACAATCGTTTCACGTGATCTACTTTTTGTCCTTTTTGACTGATTCATTATTGTGTCATGCACCAGTGCCCATGGGTTTGTAACACAGCCCTTAATGGCAATAATATAGCTTCAGGGGATACAGTGATTAAGGATCATATGGTGACACAATACAGTTTCCTCTCCTATGCTGCACTTTTCAAACCAACTTTGTTTTGTTGTTTTCAACACAAACAAAAATATTTTTAATTGATATTTGCCACTAAAACCTCAGCAGGATAGGATACAAACACATGTTCTACATTGGCCATTAACAGTGCTTGTTATTTCCATGATGGTCCCCGAACTATACGGGGAATAGGCTTCCTTATAAATGTTTTGGATTGAAATTACAACATTATCAGGTTATAGGTTGGTTAACATAACGGTGACGTCTGCCGATCTTCATTTAAAAGAAAGTGCAGTTCTATGGTCTCCACGTCTGTGCTCACATGTAACGCAGAGTAAAGCGCTGTTATTGCGGGTTTTCTCATGTTAATGCCTCCAGTTTGTAAGGCATTAACTACTAGGGCACGATAATCTATCCACGGGATCTATTGCCCTTAGGCCTCCTATAGTGGGGCAACAAGAGTCTGAAACATCAGTCTGAAACAGAAAGAAAGGGTAATAATGACTGAGTGTGACTGGAAATCACGGATGCAAGCTGTTATTAAAAATTACAAATATATATATATGTATGGGCATTAGTTATGGCTTTTATTCTTCCAGTTATTGTAAATCTTAATGGTCCTAATGGTCTGCAGGCTTCCACACCTTGTTTATTGACATGAATGATGTGAATGGAGACTTAACGCGCAGGCGGGGTGATGTTTAATCAGATTACTGCTGTGTGTGTGTGTGTGTGTGTGTGTGTGTGTGTGTGTGTGTGTGTGTGTGTGTGTGTAAGAGAGAGAGAGAGAGAGAGAGAGAGAGAGAGAGAGAGAGAGAGAGAGAGAGGGAGTAGGGAGGGGTATGCAGGCAACCCAGGGGGTAGGTAGAGTGCAGTTGCCCGACAGAGATGCTCACACACACGTCGGGGGGAGAGAGAGAGAGAGAGAGAGAGAGAGAGAGAGAGAGAGAGAGAGAGAGACGAGAGAGAGCACACAGAAGTTTGATTTTAAGTCTGGAAAGTGCAACTCCTCGCTCATTCACACCAGATTCACCAACCCAACATCAAGGAGAATAAATCAGATTCTTTTCTTTCACTCCTTTTTGGCTTCAGGTGCGTTGTTACGCGGCGCGGACCTGTTGGTTCAGTTTGGGCTTCAAACTTTTGGATAAAGTCGCGCAATCTTTGCAGGACACCGCGCAAGAAGGCAATGCACAGAGTGTGTGTGGAGAGAGCAACCTGGCCGGCAGTGAGAGGATGATGATGTGACCCTGTGTAAACTCCAATGACCACCTCTCTCTCTCCCAAACACACGTGAAACGGCAGCAGCAGCGCGTCCATGTCCAGGCTCAAGCCAGCATGACTCTGTCCGGCGGTTTGTCGGATACTTGTCAGCTCGTTTTACGCGACCGCATGGAGCCGGAGCTGTGGAAGTAGGGCTTCATCCATGCTTTCTGGGGAATAGTTGGTGCAGACACGTTGGGAAGCAAACAAAGCCACCGTGCACACTTTGGAGAGAGAGCTACGATGCGGGGAACTTTGGGCGCATTCATTCAGTCCTGTCTGATACTCCTGGTCCGGGCAGACCAGTGGAGGTTGAAGGACTCCGCCAACTGCGAGCTTAACAGGAAAGTAAGTCATTATCAAACCCAGAATAAGTGGGAAATTACTCTGCTTAAGTGTTGCAAAAGTAGCTGTAATGGTTATATCCACTATAAATTCTTATCTGAACCTCTCAAAACTGCCACATTACCTTTTATTTTGTAGTAGGCTATAAAGTGTCAGTAAAAGAGCCTTGAAGTGCCATTTCCCATACTCTTCATTTACTGTTCACGTTTTCTTCATATTTGGGCCAACTTCTCTATTTTCTGTTGTTTCTATTAATAGGCTACATGTGTAATCTTTAAACATTTGAACCCCTTTGCCGAATGACTATTTTCATTATTGATTCATCTGTTTATTTTTTCAATGAATCCATTAACTCGTGTAAAAACAGTTTAAAATGACCATCAAAGTTTTTTTGTTTAATAAATAACATAAGTAAAAAATTGTCAAAGTTATGGATGATTCATTTTCCGTCAATCCACTAATCATTTCAGCACTAGTTTTGTGTATTGGCTTTGAGTGACATGCAGGTCTTTACTGTATTTGGAAAAATCGCCATCAATGCAAGAGTTATTCTGTCCTTTTGTACTGTAGTTCTTAACCTCTTACTATGTTTAGCTTGTCAGTCATGTTCTTCAAACTCATGCAGACCATTTCAGGTCCGTTCCGGCAGAAACAGGAAGGCCAAACATTCAGCCTGCAGTCTGACAATCACTGACATGTGTATTGTTTGTTTGGCACTTGGGTCCCAAGTGGCCTGTTAATAAGTCATTATCAGTCTGTTAGTGGTCTGTCTAATAAACAGCCTCTCACAGACAAAGTGCTGGTTTTGCTGGTTGGTGTCAGACAGGTCCAGTGTTGGTTCATGTAAAGTAAATGGCACAATGCAACTTTTAAGTGAAAAATGCCTTGGCTTGCTGTTTGTGAATTCACCAGTTCCCCTGTATGCCTATCATTTTGTTCTGACCTGCTAACTTTTACTGCTGAAATGTTTAATCAATTGACAGAAAATGAAGCACTTTTGATAATCAAAGATGGCAAGCATTCACTGGTTCAAGCCTCCTAAATGTGAAGATTTTCGGCTTTTCAGTGTGTTATATTAGTGTCTTTGGGTCTAAAACTGTGGGTTAAAAAAAACAAGCTAAAGACCTGCAGACTTGCAAAAAGCACTTTTGACTATTTTCTGCTATGAAGCCATAAGAAAATGATCAATACTGAAAATATTCTGATCTTAATCTTCTTATCTATCCCTCCAGCAAACTGATCTAAACTCCTTCCTGTGGACAATCAAACGGGACCCTCCCTCATATTTCTATGGTACAATCCACGTTCCCTACACACGCGTTTGGGACTTCATCCCTGAAAACTCAAAGCAGGCCTTCCAGGAGAGCAACATTGTCTACTTTGAGCTGGACCTGACGGACCCTTACACCATCTCAGCCCTGACAAGCTGCCAGCTGCTCCCTCAGGGCGAGAACCTGCAGGATGTCCTACCCAGGGACATCTATCGGAGACTTAAAAGACACCTTGAGTATGTAAAGCTCATGATGCCTTCATGGATGACCCCGGATCAGAGAGGGAAGGGACTCTACGCAGACTACCTCTTCAACGCCATCGCTGGGAACTGGGAGAGGAAACGGCCCGTTTGGGTGATGCTGATGGTGAATTCGTTAACTGAAGCAGATATTAAGACACGAGGGGTGCCGGTGTTGGACTTGTACCTGGCCCAGGAGGCGGAGAGGATGAGGAAGAGGACGGGGGCTGTCGAGAAGGTGGAGGAACAGTGTCATCCGCTCAACGGGCTCAACTTCTCCCAGGTGAGTTTGACACTGTCCTGATTGGCGCTCAGGCCTCAGGTTTACCTGTTTTTCCATTCACACCCTCTTTGCAGTGTTTGGAATCATCTATGTGTTTTCTGTGTGACCTTCAATCAAGAAATCAGTGTCGTAACAGAAATGCTTAATTGGGAACTCATGATTCAGTCTGTCTGTCTAATACTTGAAAACTTAAGGCTGGTTTTACTTAAAATTTGCTGTGGATGTTTACCATCAGTTTTCTAAATTAAACAATAATTTCATTGCATTCATTCTAGGGATAATCCATTCATTTGCTGTGGTTATGCGTAATCACTTTGCTGATACGAATCATATCGTTCAGTTCAGTTACAAAGATTTATGATTAGTGACGATATAGTTTGTTCTAAACTAAGCAGTTGCATCAACTTTCAAATGAGTTTCAGTATGTCCAACGGTAAGTGAACGTGTCACTGTTCATATGGATGCGTTGTTCAGTGCTGATTATGTCTTTAGTTCATTCTGTTACTAGTCCAAACTGTCACATTCAGTTCAGTACAAAACTAGCCTATACAAGCACTGTGCATAAGGTTAATAGGTCAGTAGCATTATTTATTTATTATTTATTATTAGATCTGGATTTCTTTCTATCTTCTAATAGGCTTTTAATGATTAGGTAACATACTGTGTATTATGGCTGAGCAGTCACCAGTGATTTGTTCAGAGACAATCGAGTAGTGAGTTCAGTTTCAAGATTTCTTGTCAAAGATTCATTTGTACATGCACTGAACACCTCTAGTAAAGCTGCCACTTTCACTGTGCCACTTCCTGCATGTGCTTCATAATAAATGCATTTTCAGTGCTCAGTGGTAGGCTTTTACTGTGAAACCGTAGGTATTGACAGTGACATTTGCAGTTAGCTAACATTAAAAAATATTTACATAACATAGTTTTTCTCAAACCAGATTTAGACACTCTCTGCACTTTGACAGAAGGTCATATTGAATCTTGTAAACCCCACCGTTAGCCATATGCCAACTATTTTAGCACACTAACAAACTTAGCTGGTGTGTTTACCCTCTAGACTTTTTAAGTTTGTTTCAATAAACTCAATGTCAAATCTGCTGTTGTTAAAAGAGATTAAGATATGTAATACGAATGACAAAGACCAGATGTATAGATTCATTAGTTTAATTTTACAACAAGTTTTTTTTCCTCTTTTTCCCATAGCTTAGTTGACTGGAGAAAGGTGTGGTGTTAATAATCAGCTGTACAAACATTCAGCCGTGCTCCACCACGCTCTTTGTTATTAAAGAAAAATGGAGCCTAATGACTCAAGTCTGAAAAAATTACCAGGAAAAAAGTAACCTTGTTCCTCAAACCAGCATACTTAAGTTCCCATGTCTGCCTGTCTGTCTGTCTGTCCGTGCCCCCTGGTGACCCTTTCAGCATTACAAACATCCCTCAAAGGCAGCAGTGACTATGAAATCATGTTGCGTATTATTGAGGAATTTCTGCTAACGCTGGTCAGGAGCTAAGGGGATTACACTTGACCATTTACCCTAACACCCAGAAGCTTAAAGTGTTGTTATTTTAAAGCAGGCCGTGTTGGCCCCTCAGACTACAAGTCTCTGCCAAAACCACCCAGCAGCACTTCTATTAGCATTCTCTGGAGTCACAGAGGAAAAATGGGGGATGTCAATTATCATGCAGCATATATAATGAGTCAAATGTAAAAGTACTGATGATCGTTGTCACTTCTTTGCATAGACAGTAAAATATGAATCGATTTCCAGTGTTTATGTCTTGATAAACACATGGAGTGTGAGTAAGAGTTAGCAATTGCTAGGAGGGAAGATTTATTTCTCTGACTGAGATGAGATAATTAAATTTAGTCTGTGTTATAAACACGTCTGGTGACGAAGCTTATTCCCAACATGAACAATGAAGTCATTATTTCTCAGATCCTCATTCATGTCTAATTTTTTGGCACATCCGATGTAATAATTTCTGGTGTTATTTTAAATCAGTGAGTGTTTTAGATGAGACTGTCGACACCAGAAGTACTACAGCATCAGCCACTGGGTGACCCTTATCTGCCTCTTGTGGTTGTGCAAATAATGACTGTATTTTCTCGGGAATCTTGGCGTCAATGATTGGATGTACAAGGCATCTGACATTTGACTCCAGGGTGTGCATCACATTTCCTTCATTGGTTTCTTTTAAAGGTGGATTTGTTTGATCAGATCAGCATCAGATTCTACCCACAGGTTTGGAGTGGAGATAACTTTGCTAGATCTCTGTTTGTGAAAAGGAGAAACTCCTCGGTCTCTCTTCCTCAATGTTGTCTTCACTATCAACAACCTCCACTAGCACCAGAAACTTGTAGGGTGAAACACAAGCAGGTAATCCCATGTAGTTTCTCTGTAGCCCCAACTAGTAACTGCAGTTTTGAAGAGGCTTACATCAGCCACGGCTTATTCCTACAGAGTCTATGCACATAGCTGCCAGGTACGGTGTGATTAAAGCTTAACCATGAACGTGATCTTTCTCAAACCATAACCATGTGGTTTATTAGCGTAAAGGAGGTGGCAGATCATCATAAATAATTTTCATAATAGTCTTTTGTTCTCTTTTGGGAGGCATTGACAAATTGCTTATTTTGTTGTTTAGACATGGGGACTTGTTGTTTTGGATATCAGAGAAAGAAAGTGGGTGGCTGAAATTGGATTTGTCAACAGAGAGAGGGAACCTCTCGTCATCACAGCTTTTATTGAATTAGCTCCACAAAGCCTCCAGGAGGCTCAACAATGAATTCTAGTGTCCCAGAAACAACCCCTACCCTGACATTGCACCAACACAACTCACAGCTTGGCACTCCATAATTTCCACACTCAGTTTCAATCTGATCAACAGCAGCTTTGATGGACGCCTTAACCCCACTGGCTTGAATCAGCCCGCTTAATATTTCAGTAGACCATTTTTTTTCATTTGAAAAGGGCAATTCAACTTAAAGCCTTTTAGCTCAACTCAACTGTAAGATGTCCAGATAGAGTGTGATGAGTGAGATACACGATGGTGAAACAATACTGCCGCCTCAGCCGCTATTCTTGACTCAAAATGCTGTTTAATCAGGCTGCAACTATATTTACGGTCTGTAATAGGCTCTGTAATGTTTTCACTGGCCATTTACATCTGGCATCAAACTGACCTTAAAGGAAAGGGAAAGGCCAAATGGAAAATAAAATATTTAATGTATTGAAGTAGTGAACATTTCTCTCCTCATGTCTTTGTTAAAGGGAAACACAGAATGACATATTACCTGCTTGCTCAATTTCAAAAGTTCAGACGTTATGTGGTTATAGTAGAAATTGATTTTAAGCAGATTTCTAGCCGACATTCTCTTCTTCAGTGAAAGACAAACACAACACAGCTGATTGCATGAACGCACCACTCGCTGGGCTGTCGCTGGTCTTTGTTTCTGATTTCCACACTGGAAAACCACGGTGGCTTTTCTGGAATCATACCGAAATCTAGTTCAGAGGAAGTTTGAGGTGAGAGTAGGCCTCGCAATCATACTTGGTTTGACCTCTCCAGCACAATTTAAATAGTTGTTGGTGAGCTTTGAGAGTTGTCAAGAGGTGGTGAATCACACCATCATTTGCTGCAAACACAAACTTTAACTTACAGCTCGATTCAGACGCTTGGGGAAAACGTGTTCAAGTTGTGATCATCAAACTTCAGCTTGCTGTCTGACTCACATGAGCAGCTGAGTGTCACTGATTGGACTGTTTGTCTTTATTTTTCCTCACTAAGAACTCTTTTTCCCCAACACTGTGACATGCCTCTCAGACAGATTCTGATGCATCACATCTTATCAATGTGGCATCCCACTCATTGAATACAAGGCCTTTGCTATGTGATGTAGCCCGTATTTTCTTTGTAGCCCAATAAGTTTGATAAATAGTAAGAATTTTGTCTTATGTAGTGGAGGAACTCTTTATTTCAGGCAAGGTAGGGATTTTCTACTATAAAATGTTGCGAGAAACGCTGCTGATGTCTGTTTGAGTTGAGTGTCTCCTCACAATTCTTAATGGGAAAATTACTTGTATCAATACCTTACCTTTAAGATGTTCTTTAAGTCCACCTACACAGTGATTCTTTAAATGCAGATAAATTAGGAGAACTGATTCCTGTTATACGTTATGGCTTTGTGCAGCTGTGTGCTTAACATCTATTAGACTTAGGCTATAATATAGCTTAATGCATTTTAAAAATTGGGTCTTTTTTTCTCATCTTACAAGTGATGTGTCCATTTTTGAGTTTGACTGCCACTATAAATTAAGCCCATTGAGCTAATTATTTTCGAACCACAATGAATTATACTTTCTTTACTCAGATCTCTAATCTGGCTAAGCATGACTGCTCTTATTCTTGCACGGTGCCCCTCGTCTTTTGAAGAGCGGGCTCAGCCTTGCCCATTACACTAAGTGAGCTTGTTGAGGACAACAATAGCCGTATGAAGGCCGGCTTTCTCTGTCACTGTTGTTGGAAACCCGCGGGACATTCCACACCTCAGTGGAGCAGACCTGCTAATGAAAGTGTTGTTTCTTTCCTCCCATCACTGGGAGTAATGGTGCATGGAGAGGTGATGAATGCAGGTCTCAGTGTACGTCTATGAGAACAGGGAAGGAATGTTTGAAGCCCATTTGGTTCATTCATGACGAGGAGAGACTGGAACAAGGAGAGTTGAGATGCAGACTGAGATCAGTAGAAAAGCCATTAAGGAAAGAGGGCGTGACTCCATCTCCATTAATGGTATCATGACGTTACCTATGTTTGACAACCTTGTAACTTCAGTTGTGGTGTTTTCTTTTCACTTGAACTGACAGCCTACAGGGTCTTTGGATCTGCTGGGTTTTCACGAGGCAAGGTCTGGTGAAATCCAAACAAAACCCACTTTTATAAGCTGAGAGAAATGCAAGGTTGTCAGCCTGAAAATATAGTTGTTTTCTCATTTGATG